GTCGTATGTAAGATGTTGCACAGGTAGGACGACTAGGTCCTATAGATATATGCTTACCGAAGTCAGGGGCGGATAGATCACAGGATCTGAAAAGGATAACTTCGATTTTTCGCCATCTAATCTAATCTGTTATCAATGAGACAACACTAGTTGTACAATGACGACCGTCCCGCAGCTATCCGCGGAATCTCGTTGGTGGAACTCCAATGCAGATAAATGCAGTCGTTCATTACAATTGACTATTATTAGCGCGAGACGGCCCACCAACAGTCGCTTGCTGTCACCAGCGTTATTTTCGTCCTAATATTAAATAAGTATAATATCATATTACACAGTTTTCAACGATAAATCGTTACAAACGAAACCGATTCTGGACCATGTTCGGTTTAACATTTTTCAAATTAAATTTAAATTGAAAACTATAGTCACATCGAAACAACAAAATAAATTTAAATTGTTTGCGGTTTTTACGGAATTTTCCCAAAACTTTGTTAAAACGCTGATAGAAATAAATATTACATGGATCTATCATAAAAAAAACTTGATAATTTCAATTACCGATCTACATAACTCAAACAACGCCAAAGTATTTTTAAAACATTCCGTACGATGTCTAGAAAGTACTAATATTTCGGCTACTTATATGCTTGACGTATGTATGTATAAGTGTAAATATATAAGTTTTCGGTAAAAATTATTCCGAGTCTCTGCTATTACTTTCCATTGAATTACATCACGAAAAATGGGAAATCTTTTTCTTTTGAAATTTTGAAAAAAAGGGGGAAAAATACTCATTATACTAAAACGTTACTAAATCGCTTCGCTCAGAATCTAAAACAATAATAATATTATTCCTCCCTTCCCTCTCCGATTCCGTCGGAAGCGCTGAACGTATTTTTTAATCGTGACATTCGTTCGTATGACGTTCGATGACTGTCTGTATTCTGTAATATCCGGACTTTTGCAAATCGATCAGTTGCCACGTGCAAGTTTCAACGCCCCTCGGGTCATATTATTATTATTATAGTATTTGGTTCGTTCGTGTTGCATCGGCGTCGGCGTCCCGTCCACAAAATCGTAATAATAATATTTTCACTTCCTCAAGTCTATGTAGACAATAATTTTTTATATCGATTTAAACCGATGCATAAATTCGGTCAACATGTTAAAACCATTTTTTTTCCTACCTACATGAGAAAATTTTCTAGGAATTTTTTGGTTTTACTATGATGTGTGTGTGTGGTTTTTTTATTATTATCTGTGAACAACTTTTCGACCAAAACTTTACTCCCAAAATTAAAAACATAATATCAGGGATTGTTTTCTGATAGTGAGTTTTATCTAGTCTGGTGCACAGGATGATCGCCATTTGAATTCCCTTGCATTTTTCTTGCATAATGGAAACGTTTTTTGCTGATTTCTATTTTATTTTAGATTCATTCTAACGTAGCGAGGAATGTATAACAGATTCTACTATAATGTGTGCACATTTGTTTTTGTTTTCTGCCTGTTAATGACTATTCTACCAGAAATCTTACTCAAATCAAAAAACGACAAGAGAGATTTTTTTTGTACAATTCGGTTACTAGTAGATACATTGAGGTGATAATTTCTTTTATTTTCCAATTAGTTTTCTTAATGATTGGTAAAAACAAGAAATTTATAATTATTATATTCATGTCATTTATCAAAAACCAGAAGGAAAAAACATTATCTAATCATATTGATTATACATTATAATAAACACTTCGTTCTGTTAAAATTAATTGTATTTTCAGTGATGTTGCCAAGGCGATGATAATAATGAAAGAAATATTTCTATCATAATTATTGCGAAAATATATAACCGGTTTTTGACTTTTAATTGCAACACTTAAAACCATTTAACGTTATTGTGTTTTTCAGCGATAATAATTGATTAAACAGAATAAATAAAATTCTGATATAATAACTTAAAAAAAATAATACAAAAACAAACACCTGGAAACAGTGAAGTATTTTTCAGAGACGAAAATCGAACAGTTTTTTTTATTTGTTTTAATTGGGTATATGATTAAGAGAAATACATTTGTTTCGTTTTTAACAACGGCTAGTGGTTTTTTATGATAAATTACGTATTGGCAATCATTAACATAGTTTTATTTTTATCGATCTATACTTATTTTCAGTTTCGTACTCGGGGCTAATGGGGGGGGGGAGTGGAGCAACTTTCTTAGGATACCACAAATTTATGGGACACCAGATGGATATCAATTTTAGGCTCTAACACGATTATAGTTAGCATCACGGTACACTGTTCGTACTGATGAACTGTATAGGTACCAGGGGCGGTGCGTCAGGGGAAACTTTGAGACGGCGCGGCGTCTTCCCAAAAAACATTTTAAATATTTTCAATTATTTGTGTAATTTATGAGTATAAATCTTCTTTAGTCACCAAAATGTAGTATTCATATGTATATTGTATGTGTGTATAAATATTCTCTCCGTCGTAGTATGTGAATTAATGCACATACGTTCTGAGCATTTTCGGAATTGGCGATTACAACAGACAACGCAATAAACGAATGAGACGGTCGATCGACAGTCTCTATTATAATAGATAGGAGGTAAATAAAAGTTCAGGGGGGGGGGAATCAAAGCGACAATGGTTTTTTGCATGAAATATTGGAGTCCGTGAGACTATTCTCTGTCACCGAGCGTCACGTTATTCCGTATTCGTTAAGTACATTTGTGTAGTGCGTCGTAAACTTGCCGCGATTTTTATTAAAAATTAAAAATACGAAATTAAAACACTGTAAATTAGATGAATTGACATCGATTTTCATTCATGTACGTATGATGAAAAATGTAAAAACTAAGTTAACCTAATGTTTCAAATAAAAATGTATATAAATAACCAATAGTTACACAAAAGTTAAGTCTGCCCGTAAATTTTATTCGCACGCCACTACTGTTAGATACGAATAAATATTACAAAAGCAAAATGCATTGCACTCGTATAAAACATAAAATAATAATCTGATGTATAAAATAAAAGGTTTCCAACTCCGTATTATGTACATCCGTGTCATTTTTTTTTTTTTTTTTTTTATCATTTTCACAGCAATTAGTCTGAAATACCGCTTGCTCAAAGAACGGGACTATATAATATTATCAAAACTTATTTTATAGCTCCACAATCATTAAAATAATAATAGTACAAAGTTTTGTAAAGTATTGATAATTCGTGCAGCACGAATGATTTGTAATACACGAATTATTCATCGTACCAAGTAATATTTTCTACGACGATTCTGAAAATGGTATAGGTACGAGAATTTTAATTAAAACGAATGAGATTGTCTCTTTTTCTTCCGTTATTATTATTTCCGGACTCGACTTTTCGAAAATTTAACGAAAACTTGTCCGGAAATAACGTTTTTATAATATGTTTTTGTAAACTTTTTTGCCCCAATTTCTCAAATCCGTTTAATTCAACGACTCGGTTCGGTTTTTTTTTTTTTTTTTTATTCAAGTCGAATGGTAATAATTTTATTAAAACTTTAACAGTATTTTTCTTTGATCGATATTATAATGTTTAATGTTTTTCATATTTTTACAGACATGACAACGGCTCAGATCGAAGCTGAAAACACACAAATGACTAACGATCTTTACCGATTGTTAAAGAAATATACTGGGCTGAGAAACCTTATAAGAGAACTAAAGGTAAAGATTATAAGTTTAATATATTTTCGAGGCGATTATAAAACATCGGATTTTATGAAAAATTAAAAAAAAAAAATCATATTTTTAAATTCTAAATGAAAACTGAATCGTCATAGGAAAAATATAATTTTGTTACAAACCCATAGAGTTTTAACAGACAGCGTTAATATTTTTAATGAACCAAATACGATGGAAATTTCGAATCCTACTTGCATTTTTTCTTTAATTCAATTTTTTTTATTATTACTTTTTTTTTTTTTCATTTACACCCATTTCGGCACCCGATAACTTTGTCGAATTTTGTCAAAAATGTGTTTGCACCAATATTTTATACATTAATCGCTTCTCAAGGTGTAAAGTAAAAAAAAAACCCCGAAATTTCATTTTAACCACTATAACTACGGGACATCACGCGGGATCTACACGCGGCACCGTCTAATACGAACGATTTTTTTTTTTTTTTTTCATGCCACAGGTGGAATACGTCAACTCGAAAGTGTATCCGATATTTCCGCGCTACAACATACTGAAAGACCTGATAAAGGACATCATGCATCATCAGGAATACATGGAAGTGTGCCACGAAGTCGACGCCGTATAATCGCGCGCGCAGGAACAACGCGCACAAAATATCACACGCGAAAATTGAAATATGTTTTATATTTATAAAAGAAAAAGAAAAACTCTAACACACTTACGTACAGGCGTGAAAATTCTCGAATTTTTACGAGACAGACGAAATAAAAATCGAACCCATATTTATAGAATATAAAATATATTAATATTTTGCGTGTGTGTATATTTGTGCGTTTTTTTTTTTTTTTTTTTTTTTTTTGCGTACGTATTACGTCTTTTCAAGTGTGTGTGTGTGTGTGTGTGTTTTCTATTCGATTCGTGCCAACTGTAATACGTCTTATTATTTCGCATTTCTTATTCGCATACTTATACCATATAAACGTACCTTTAAACATTTTTGACCTAAGCGTATCCTTTTCGTTATAATATTGAAAATTTTATATAATAACGTGTTTCCGCAAAACTCGAATATAATATTATAAGAGGGTAATGTCACGTTGGCGCTTTTTTTTTTTTTTTATCGCGTTAACCGTTTTCGAACGGACGAAAAAAAAACAAAAAAATAAATAAATAAATAAAAAAACGATCGTCCCGTTTATCATTATGACGTATTATTATAATACCCGAGTGTTGTTTTTTGGAGAATAACCGGGAGGGTGTTTTTTATATTTTTTTTTTTTTTTTTGCAATATTTTTCCGCCGCTGCGCTTTAATATTTTTATTCGTAATATACGTGTTTTAAGTCTATAAAAAAAAAAAAAAAAAAAAAACCAAAAAAAAAACAAAAAAATTTAATACTACCTATTACTAACCTATACGCTCATAAACGCGACTATATAATATGACCTAATTTAATTTTACGCCGTTTAATATTATAACCGTGTTAATACCCGCTAACACATTACCCGTAACATTGCGTTATTGATGGATTAATAATGTTCAAACGGTCGATATATTATTATTATACCGATAAATGCTTTTTTCGGTGTTATTCTTCTCTTTACGCATAAGTCTGTTACTATCGCTGTTATTGCCGTTACGGTACCGTATTTAAAGGCGCCGTGATACCCGCACGATATGCGCCGTCGCCGTCTTGTGGACGTAAGACACTGTAAATTTGCGTTCTGCCGTGCCGTTAGTTTTAATGATTTTCGAGCGAATTGACCGTAGACAGTACACGCTGAATGCCAAATAGTTAGTTGGTTGACGATAAAATAGTAAAATAAAATAAAATAATTAAACTGGTGGTCAATGCTCGTAAGTAAATACATAGTAAACAAATATGAAAATAAAAAACGAACAAATGAATAAATGCGTCGCCCGGAGTATTATGATAAGTGCATAATACTCCGGGCGACGAATTTATCATTTATTTGTTTTTCGTTTTTGTATGTACGTTTTTTTTTTTTTTTTTTTTTTATTATTCATATATTTATTTGTTAATTGACGTTTTACTGATCGACGCCAATCGGCGTGTGATGTGGTCAGCGTTCGCACAATTTTCTTACCGACACGGCTCGACAATAATAACGATATCATACTATACCGGTGTGTTGTGTTTGACGATAACAATTACGGACTCGCTCGTCGATGAACCATTAATACGGTCAAGGGAATAAGTAAACTCCATTTTCGGAGTTTCCCCCGGATCGACTGACCATTAACAGCACCTATCTATCAAGATATAATCCGTTTAGAACGCGGACTTTTTCGAGGAGTCCGTGGAGGAAAAATAGGAATGTGTTGTCATTGTGTTGTGCCCGTGTAAGCGTATTGTAAATTAGTTGAAATACACTACAGCGCGACCTCAGAACAATATCGGATATAAAATAAAAGAACAAAACCGAATATAAAACACTTGGATCACATACAATTTACAGTATGGTCAAAGACAAGGCAATACATCGTGACAAAATGATAACGAATGATAACAACTACAAACGTTCAATGTTCATATCTTTAAATTTTACAATTGATCGATTCACTCCAGTATTAAAACTAACGGCACAAAATCGTCCCTGATGAAAGGAAATTTGCTAACGCATACACGAGTATCACGGCCTCTTGAACACGGTGACACCGATTCTCGCGGCTTACTTAATAATATTATTTACGTGTACATAAAAATTAATAGGGATAATTTGTTATTTTTTATTTCGAAAATCAAAAAAAAAAAACCGCTTTATCGTTCATATAACATTGGTAATATGAATGCGATCTTGGACGTTTCGATTTTAATAATATTAATGCTTACAAAAAAATCAATATTATCGATATAATACACATGTACCGGCTTTTTATTTTATTTTTATTTATTTTTTCTATTTCTATTAGCTTTCGCCCGGATTTGAGTTTTTCTACGGTTAACTGAATGCATTTTTAATAAATAATTAAATGCATAATATTTTATAATATTTTAATATAATAAAAATGTTATCTATTCGTTTCTTGTCTTTAAAAAACGTTAAGCTATATAAAATAGTGCAGAGATGCTAGTTTCTAGTTTCTAATCACAAAATTATTTTCATACGCGGTGTGCTCGAAATACCAGCCGCCGGCCCAGGAGGCGAACGCAAAATAACATTTCGGTGGTTACAAAAATTAACATCAATTGCATTTGACCCCATTTGTATTTTCTGTTAATCAATTTATTATTTGCAATTTGAATGCATAAATTGAATGGTGATTTGAATTTCAAAGGGGGTTTGGACCCGCAAAACCCCTGCGTTCGTCACTGGCCACTCCGCAACAACATTTGTAACATCGTCGATGACGATAATATTATTATAACTATTGTGTTTCTTTTAAAATATTATAATTTCTACATTATGTTTTTTTTTTCCGACGACCGTGAATATTTTCTTTGAAAAATATAATAACATTCTATCGTCGGTCTGAAATAAACGATAGTCCACCGAACGTACACTACCGAAAACCGTCGATATAATATTGCTGTTTTTGAAGGGGAATCGATACGATACCCATAACACACTCGTTCAACCGTTACTGAAATAATAATAATTAATAAAATCATTTACTTTGATGGTTTTTAATAATAATATACCCGTATCATTTTTTTTCATCCCTCCCTACCCCGAATCCCGATTATTTCGGAGATTTGCACACGCGTACCATTAAAACTGTTTAAAGTATCGTTAAAACGAAAATGTTCCGAAAAGAAAATTTAAATAATGTTTACGAAACGTGTATCGGCCGGGCCCTTTACATTATAAATTAGTAAAACTTTCGAAAATTTAAAACAATGTATTTTATAAAACTTTTAAAAGAAAAAAACTGCTTAGCAAAAATAAAAAATAAAACCCTTATTCGGGAATAATTTATTAAATTTCCATGGTTTTTTCCCTCCCTTAATAAATCTGATAATTATTTGTATTCAACTATTTTTTACGAATTCCGTCGAGATAAGAATACAATAAAACCATCGGACTATAATCGAATATTTCAAACAATATTTTGTCCGTCGATAAGACTCATTTTTTACACGATTCCGAGTGCGCGAATAAAATCAAAACGGTTCGACTTGCTATCTGAATTTCACTTCAAGTGTGCACCACTGACCAAACGAACGTGTTATAAAATACATATGACGACGTGTACGCCATAATCGGACTTGTGACGTATTCGAGAAAAATTATTTGAACGCAGAAACTATATATATTAATAGTTGTATGTTACAAATACGTATATATTTTAAAATGCTTTAGCGAACGCGTTACGGTGTTCAAAATATGATATCTTTATTCGTAACGTCTTAAAAAAAAAAAAAAAAAAAAATATTTAAACGCGACGCTCCACACACAATAATGGTTCGAAATGTTAACTCGCGAGTTCTAACGAACGTATTGATTGCAGTCATATTTATGTATTATAACGTTGGTTTACACGGTTCAAACTATTTGAATGTATTTACAAATGCATAGTTGTGTGCCCGAGCGCGTTGTTTTTTATTTTTCTAAATACTCGGAATGAACGGTACCCTCTTGAAGAGTATCATCTACAAGTCTGAGGGCTCACGCAATACGTCATATTTCGTACAGACATAATGCATTATCATTAAACGATAAAACGTTCTGACCGTAATATAAAAATAATTTATCAGCTATATTATATTCGTTCGAACAAACTAATATTATTGTAAAAGTAAAAAAAAAAAAAAACAAAAAAAAAACATATCTTTAACATTTCTTTCTTTATTAACCTTAAAAAATGCCAAAAAAATATGAATATTATTTAATCTTACGCGTGTATAATGTATATGTAACAATAATTTATAATACCACCACAACGTTGTTCCGTACGTGTTATGAAACTATTCTGAGGAAAAAAAACTGTTTTGCATTATAGGATAAGCTAATATATTGAATATAAATTAATATTGATAATTAATATAAAATAATAAAATAACGAGTTGTTTGTATCTATACGTACGTGTTTTTTTCCGTTTGTTAATAACGATAATATTTCATTATTAACAACCACGACTGTATAATAAACGCTTAACTGTTTGTTAAAACGAAAATTAGGTACATATGATATAGGTATAAGAGTCGATACTTATTATATAAGTGTAGAGTTTATAATAAGAAAATATTAAAAATCGTAAACGTGGTCAGTTTTTCTTCCGTTTAAGAAAGAAAACACGCCACTTTAGTCGTCCTCCCCCGTCCTTATAGATTTATTCGATTTCGGTTGTGTTAATAGAATCGTAACCTAACCTACCCGTGCCGGGTCGCGTGAAAACTGTTCTGTAAATTGTTAGATTGATAATCAATCGGTTCTGTAAAACTGCAGTTATTGAACAGATAGCGTTTCGTGAACGTGATACCCGCGTGTGTTTTCTCCGTGTTACAAACGTACGACATGGTAAATTTGCGTTCAGTTGGGTCGACTTTGTGCTATTAGTTTCAACACATTACAGTGAATTGACTTATTATTAAACTTAAAGGCAAAATCATTGTCTGATCTCGACGTCGGCGCAATTTTTTGATGTATTGATTTTTAAATTGTTAAATGTCATAATTTAAAAATGCTTGTATTTCGGTTAAAAAATAATATATCGAAAAAAATAGCACGAACGTTACGCAGTTATTGTTCTTATGTTTAAGTTTGGCAATGAGTCTAGTCACTATTATATTAAAACTAACAGCACAAACGTCGTACCTGTTGAGTTTGTTTTGTCGTAGGTACCTACGTGCGTAAGAAGTACGCAATCGCATCGTTTTAATTAATAATTTTATCCGTACCAAACATTACGGTGTTGAATTAATATAATTGACGTAAATTGATTAAAAAAAAACAAAAATGAAACCCGAAGTCATAAATCGTGTTTGACGATTGAATGAAAAACAATCAAGTTTGTGTCAAACAGTTCTGCAAATTGTACAGAACTAAAATCAATTCAACGGTTTATCGATTAAACAACTGTGACAACGTGTTCGATACCGATATCGTTCATTTTACAGATCGGTTTTTAACTTTACAGAACCGATAGTCGGTTATCGGTTAGGTTTCACGCGGCCCGGCACTAGTTTAATATTAATTCGTTTAGCGTTGTTTAGCATAGTATTGGTACATATTTCACATTGTTTTGTTATCTTCTCAAACTTTATTATGATTATTAATAATATTATTGTTAAGATTTTGTTTTTTTTTTTTTTCGATTTACATACTATACAATATTATAATACAATATACTACTTAACCATAATTATACTACCGTAAAAATATTAATAATTATAAAAACTAATCATGATTGATTTAATATTAACAGCTAACGTGTATAATTTTTAATATTATTATTAATTATTAATTTAGGTACCCGCTTAATCAACGGTAATAGTTATAGCGATAAACTGATAATAATTATAATAATATTTAAACGCTTATAAATTAATCCGGAAATTATGCATTAACACATATTATATTGTTATCATTATTATAATAGTATAATATATTATATTATGTTATAGCGACTTAATAGGGGTTATTTTATAATTTTTTATTTTTTGTAATCGAGACGAAACACAAGCCGAACTACCTTTATGCACCCTCCATCAATCAATTATTGATCCGTATAAAAAAAAAAAAATACATTAATATGAAAAGTGAAGGCAGGTTTGATGGCTTTTCTTTTATTTTTTTCCAAAAACCAATAAACCTTTAACGTGTAATAATATTTTAACCGAGATCAAAATTATTGTTGTACGATTTTTTGTTATTATTTTCCATCTGTATAGTATTATATTGATGTAGTACCTGTTTCGAACGGAAAATCCCTATAATTTATTGTTTTTATTTTACGATTAACAAAAAATAATTATTTTTTTATTTGTTTTTTTTTTTTTTTCATTTTTAAGTTCACTATAATATTTATTACTACAACTTATTGTCGTCGCACACTTTTCCCCCCCTCTTTTGACACAACAGTACCTACATAATGTTCGATGTATTATTATAATGTTGAAATTCGATTTATAAGTGCATACGATACAAAAAAAAATTTTTAAAAAAAACCCCTGAAAATATCGGCGTTATTCGACTAAAATTTTTAATAAAAACGATTTTTAAAATAAATACAATATTATCTATTATATTACATAGGCGCCTTTCTTTTTCGTGCATCTTATTATCGATATAATATTTGATTAACGAGAACATTGTGTTCTATATTACAATTACATAGTATAGGAATAACATATTTATAACGTGTAAATATATGAGCTTTTATTTTAATTTTTTTTTTTCCTAAGCTAATAATAAAAATTTATACAAACTATACAGGAACGCATACGAAATATTGATTATAACAATATAATATATTATAATTATTCGTTTTTTTTTTTTTTTTTTATTATTATTAAATATATATTAAATACCTATTATATAACCACTACGCTATTATTATATTATAAGAAATTTATGAAAAAAAAAAATCAAATACTTCGTAATATCCATAATATTATAATGTATAAAAAAAATTATACGGTAATACCGTGCATTATTATTGATAATGTTTTACCGTTCTATTATTGTAATACAATGAATTATACGAATGCGAAAACGGTAATTTTTAATTTTTTTTTTTTTTTTCCTAATAACGATATGATCGATACTGCATATATGATGCACGCGGAACACAAGGGATGGCAAGTAACATTTTACTAATTTCGAGAAAATCAAGTGTAAAGTTATTTGTATTCGATATGATTATTATAGAGTATTATCGTCACTGTTCTTGTATTCGAATGATAAAAAAAAAGTTTTATACACATGATAAAGAGACATAAGTGTGTTAACAGCTGCTGTGGACGCTTGTACCTATATACAACACACACATACTTCTAATCTATTACGGCGTTTCCGTTTGAAGACTATTTTAGTGCGATCTAGTATTTGATACTAGATTGCAGCACATGACGAATAAATCGCTTATATTTCTTTACCACAAAATAAAATGGAAAATTGGTAGTTCAGCTGCTGTGCACTCAACTCGGGTTTTTGTAAAAATGTCACTTTTATACCATCCCGTGTGTTCTAGGCACCTCGTATTATGTCCGCGGTTGTAATGATAATATTTATCGTCGCCGTAATTATTGTTATCGAACCGACGGCGGCACGACCGAATCGCACTTTTTTATCTGAACATCACTAAACGGTCGAAAAAGTCTCTCGGAAAACGCTCGTTTTCCTCGCCCTCTTGCGGGCCCGATATCCGGCCAAAACAAGAGCGATTCGGCCTCGAGCCACGGCGACATTGATAATTACGACGGCGTTCACGAACGATATTATTGTACGGTGATGTTTTCGGATATGGCAATAAAAACAAAAAAAAAAAAAAAAAAAAAAAAAAAAAAATGAATAATATGTATGTTTAGCGTGTTTCATCTTTAATCCTCTTGTTCTTATATTCATATTCATATTATTATTGTGATTTTTTACGATTTCGCTATAATACCTATTATTATTATTATTATTATTAACTACGTTACGTTTAATATTGTATCGTATATCTATATAATATATTATTATTATTATTATTATTATTATTATACCTACTCGTATTATATACATATAAACGTGTGTGTGTGTTATATTATATAAAACCATGCATATTTTACAAATAATATTATAAAGCAAATAATCAACGTTCGAGTTTTATACATTATATTATATTTAACCGAAATAAACTAACGCTGTTGATAATACAATAACCTGCCTATTGGTGCCGCGTTCTTGGTTTTTTTTTTTTTTTCCCCCTCCCCCCGTTGACTTCCCGTTCGCCGTTCCGTTTTTTTCAACACGGGGACGCGAACGTTCGAATCGGGCGGAAATTCCATCAGCCCCGCCGCCATTTAAGGTACGTACATAGGGTCCCGTTTGCGGTTTATTTTACGGAACTGAAAAAAAAAAAAACTGTTGCTCCGTTACGGCCGTAGTTGATTATTTCTCGATGAAATAACTTATCGAACCGCGATTTGCCCCACGCATCACATAGAGTAAGTACTTCATGCCACGTCACAGCGGTTTCGATGCGCACTGTTCTCTATTGCCGACATGCCCGTTTGTTTAGCCACGATAACAATTTATGTTATTTGTAGTCACCCTTCGTTTTAGTGGTAAAACCACCGTCTACATTTGATTTTCAAACGGCAACCTATGTCAAAAATTCCATAGATAGATGAAGCATTTGTTAAATAAATATCGGTGTTGAAATTTTTGATTTCTGTCAATCCGTTGACGAGATATTCCACTTTTGAGTTTGGGTTGCGGAAGAGTGTGGTAGACAGTGGTTTTACCCCCCAAAAATAAGGGTGACTAAAATATAACAAAAATACGAAATCGTAAAACGGCTTGTTTATTGAATATTCTAGAAAACAAATTGCGGAAAAAGTTAATACTTTCCGATATAACCCTGTACATCTGTACAACTTTTTTTCTTTTTTTTTTCTTAAAACGTACAACTAAATAATAATATGAAAATTACTGATTGATATTGTACAATCAAATTGTGTTACCCGTATTCGAGCTGATATATTATTATTTGTTTGTTTTTTTTTTTTCGTTTCGCATACGGTTTCAAACATCTTGTGGATACACGCTCAATTCGATATTATCGTTTATTCGGTAAAAAAACGTTAATTTTAAAAATAATTTTGAAAAAATCAACGGCTATCATAAAATATTATCAATTATCACCAATATGAAGAGTGTACGATAATGGAATACGTACACAAATGTATCTTTTGTTATGTAATTTAGGTTCAAAAAAATATATATAATTATATAAGTAGCCGAGTATGAACGTAAGTATGATAAAAACGCACGCGTAAAATGTACAAACCCAATTATTGTAGAGATTCTAGTGATGCTACCGAGTCATAAATTGTTGTCAGGTTTCATGCGTTAATTGAAATACACTGTAATGACTGTAGGGGTCGGCGGGTAAAGGCGTTAACGAACATTTTTATAATTTTTCAGGAGGATAATCATATACAGAATGCATTGGAACTTTTTTTGTGTTTAAACTTTAAGCTAAACAGTTACACTGTGTAAATGTAAAAATAGGAATCGGCTGTTATTCAATAAAACTCGATTAAAAATATTTCAACTGATTTATTATATTTTATTACAAAAAGTTTAGTTATTTTATAAAATAAATCCGATTTTGTAAAATGTTACAAATTGTTTTTTTTTTTTTTACGTTTGATAACGATCTTAAGAGGACGCCACGTCTCGTCACGTGACTATATATTATTTACGTATGTTTCGTTAAATCTCTGGGTTCTCCATAAAATTGTTAGTTGTAAAATGTCTCATGTTCAGTATTTGCACAAATCAATACAATTAGATTGGAAACTGTTTTTAATAAAAAGCTTTTCCGTTCTGTTTGAACAAAGTCTAAAGGAAATGAAAAATAAATAAATAAATACGTGATTTCATAAGTAGTTTACTTGTGTATAATATAAATAGCTTATTGAAGAACCGATTGATTATTTACATAAAATCTTTAAATAATTTCCCTATACTTTGTATGAATTTAAAAAAAAAAAAAAACAAAACAAATAGAGCGACACCGTTGCAATATTAAAATATTAACAATTCAATTTTGAAAAGAATGCATTTAAACACTTGAACACTAGAAAAAGTGTACACAAATTAATAATAACAATTACAACGTCAATAAACCACACGCGTTGGTTATATTATCGTCAATACTATTTAATAATGTTTTATAAATATATACCTGCCTGTATGGTTGTATGCTTTAAAAAAAAAAAAACCTCTTCGTAGGAGTTCAAGACAAATACGATAATGTACGAATGTTAGGTTAGGTAGGCGAAAAGAAATTAAAACAAATAAATATGCACATAGGCGGGGCCGGGATTAACATGGGTTCAAAGGGAGCTTTTGTTCCGGGACGTCAAATTTATACAGGAACGGCAATGGCGGTACGTAAGTTTTGACGTTCAAATGCCTATTTGGTACATTTTTTTTTTTTTTTTGTTTTTTTCTCAATGTTTAATCGAGTAATTGTATTATTTAGCATTAACATTAAATGAAATATGAGTACAGCGTGGACTATCGCGTACCATATCGCCGTGGTTATAACGGCGTGTCAATCTCAATGCACATAGAATCTTATAAAATAATGCTGTAAATTAACGATTTTTGTAATTTTGTCTAATCGATTTGCCGCGCCGTAGACGTCGCTTGGCGTCGTCTTATCTCTGTTCGGTGCTCGGTCAGTCAATCATCGGTGATCAGTGTCAGCGTTCGCAGTTGACAATAATAAATCGTTTTCATTGGGTGCCAAAACGATCAAATTAAACGGTTATGAATAATACCGTAAAATTGCATTCGAAACGAATGAAAAAGTTAAGTGTTACTATTGAACCGTGCAAAAAATTAGAGATTATTTTTTCAAAAAGGTTTAGGGTAATTGTATTTTGTGACTGAGACGTTACTGACCAAATGTGTAGATTCGCCAACGCTGTGCACCGAGTCTGAAATATATAAAGGCACAAGGTGAACAGAATTCGTTCATAAATTCGCCATGATGGAATCGAGGAAAAACGTTTTTGTAAAAAATATACGTCTAAGTTTCTTATTTACATTGTACTGTATTCACTTATGCATAATAAATAATATGCGTGTAACATTTTTATATTGCGCATTAGAAATATTCAAAAAACTGTTCAATTGTAAAATGACATAATGATGTAGTAGACTTGTAACTGTTTCAGTAGGTTTAAATAAATACCTACTAAAACATGACAATAAAAAAAAAAAAAGGTATCAAATTTGTATTGAATTGTTTCGCATATTTGTGTAGTATTACATGAAAAATATATGTTCTCTTAATGGTTCCTTGATAATATGTACCAAAGGTTTGTGCGATATTTCTCAAGGGTGGCTCTAATCTTTAATCCGGGCCTGCGCACGGGTGTTTTAAACACAAACGTTTAAACGGATTGAACAATTCGTTATGACTAGTCCATTGTAAATGTTAATTTATTGTAAAAAAAAAACCGCGAGCCGGACTCTAAAAGCATATTTATAATGTATAATGATACTATAAAAATACGTTGTACTATTGATGGTTGGGTTCCTTTAGTTTTAATTCATTTTCTCTAGGACTGTTAATCAAACACCGGCATAATTCGACATAATAATAATATGTACCCCGTATCTCTGAGTCTGTGCAATAGAAGTGGATTAACATCGTGGATTTTTCCCTTTGTTATTAATTTTTTCGAAAATCTACTAGTTTGTTGCTCAACTCGGATAGTTTTAAAATATACGGTGATTTTTCCACCACGACACATAAATCGTCTACGGAGATTTGTAATGCATTTTCAACCTTTCAATCATCATACCTCAACAATCGTTTGATTGTTTCATTTACGATTTGTTCAAAATAACCGAATTGAAATATTGGTTTTGCCATTTAAAATCATCAGAACAGTATGGTGATTCAAGTGAATCAGATTTAATTGAATTCCAGACAATATTATTGTTTTGTTTAAAAATAATTTTCATTATAAGTAAAATTTCTAAAATTATTGAATTTTTTTTTTTTTTTGATGTTACGTGATCATGTTTATGATCAAAATTCATGATTAATAAGTAGGTACCTACGTAATGAACGCCTTGTGGTAATATTATTATACCAATTTACAACGCCTAACCCTACGCATTCATTTAAAATTCGGACATGGTGGCGCCATCTGTTGTCGACCGAATGCCGTTGCCCTCCGATGTTCAAATGAAACGTTGGAGGCGCTCCGCTCCGTTAAGAAAAAGGCGGGATATTGTTATTTAATTTTTGTAATATTTTCACGGCGGTTCGCGTAACGTGGTAAACGTCAATCGCCAGGCAACTTGAACTTGTAATTATGTTGCTGGTCGGTGCACCCGACCTAACCCGACTGACGGCTTACCGCCGTCGTCGCCGGCCAACCGTCCCAGTCGTATTCGTATGTCCCTCGGTAAAAATGTCCGTCATTAAAGTGGCCGCCGACAAAGGACGACAAGACCGAATGCAAACTAATTGATAATTTACGACGTAACCACCCAACAGTAATACGACAAATATTATTTCAGATTCGGATCAATTGGTTTACCTGCGATATATGTGTGTGTGTGTGTGTTTTTTTTCGTCTTTCTGTGAACAACTTTTCTACCAGAAACTCGGCCCCGAAGTGTGGACCGTAAAAAGTAATTGTCTCTCGTTGATGCGCTGAGGTCGTTTTCTCGATTTTCCGCGGGGTTTTCGAAACAATCGGGAAAAATCCGAATGAAAAGTATGGGCAAAACGGCCAATATCCACGCGGTGCCGCGGCGCTGCCGTTTTCAATGTTCTCGTTGCGTTGACACGATGTTGTCCAACGGACAATTTATCATAATACTCCAGGCGACGCGTTGATTCATTTATACATTTTTTTATTTTCATATTTATTTAGTTTGATGATCGATTGTTGCGTATAGACACGAGTACATTCAATTTCCCTCTATATCCTATCTGTCCAACTTCTCACCTACAACAGCGGCCCGCTGGGACTTCATAAAAAAAGAACACCGAATTTCAGACTATAATTTGGCAATACTATTTTCGTTAATGCGGTTTTGGCCCGCATAAAACGGTTTCGATTGTACATTATTAATTTACCGCGTCACACGTCAAACGCCTAGAAGACGAAAATAGCAACAAGGCAATAAAGAACCTTAAATACAGAACTACGTATTGTTTTTCGTAAAAATACGATTTTACAATTCAAATTTCAAGAATGAAAGAACACTGGAAACTTAATTACGAAAACGAAAAGACAATACGCACCCGCGTGAATTGCGCGTAGGTACCGAAATTATTTGATCATTTTTCTTCTGAATAAACGCGTGTTTCGTAAACTAGTGAAATAATATTGTAAATAGGTATCCACTTTAATTGTACGTTCAAAAATCGTATTGAGCGGCCTATACCCGTGTTAGCCGTGTCGAGTGCTGCTCGTAGACAAGTACGCTAATAGATAGATAACGCCAATGTTAATCGTGGACAAGCATACTGTAGCTGTGATCGCCAATCGGAGTAATGAGTTACGAGTAAAGGGCGGATGTTCGTGATCCAAAAAACTTTATTACGCGCTTCATAAAATTTTAAAATATGCTCGATAAAACATCATTGCGTTCCCAAAAAAAATGTGAAAACATGCTCAAAACCGTCAAATACGCAATGAAATAGTAAATAATATTTACGAAAAAAAAACTGTGTTAAAATGTCCAATCGATAAAGATAAAAAATTTCCGAAATAGGCAATGATCCGATGTCCAATGTACAAGTAAAACCCAAAGATACCGCCGAATGTGCATTATTATTACGCACTAATAAAACATGCATACGCTTTGAAAGAAAAACGGACCGAAACACGCGAATGTACGCGACATAACAATTTTGATTTCGTCCTCTTCTATAGGTCGCGAGAAAAAAAAAAAAAATGTCTATATTGCTGCGCGACTTTTATTATTAAATGAAAATGAAAAAAAAACGCGTGAACGCCATGAAACGCACAAACGTCCGCTCTCCGATTGCGAGCAAGAGACGTTCGCGTCAAGCCGAATGTTGATCCCCGGTTATCGGGTTATTTTCTCTACGTCATGACGACGTGACTCACTCACACGTAACCTCAAAACGTCCGTAACCTGTCGGCGGTTAAACCGTCAACTCGGATAACAGTCTCCCGACAATATTATCTCGTACCGACGCACTTACTTCGCGGGCTTAGCGAAACGGTTTGTTGCCGAGTTGCCAATCAAATTGTCCGCGAAAAATACTAGATAAGCAATGTTTTCGAACGTTATTATTGTTCGTTTGTCCGCGTTGAAGTGCCCGGACGTTCAACAAGCGGCTGGTATTCGAATGGATTAGATAAAGATTTTGTAAAACAATGTTGTAGCGCTGTTAATGCGTTATTATAAAAAAACTGTTATCTGGTTTCATTGGATGTAATTGGAGATAATAATTACGTAATTCGTAATAATAATTGCCGTTGATTAAAATTTAAGTGGTTTTTTTTTTTTTTTTAATTATTATTAAAAATCTATTGTTCAGTTTTTATTGTATTATTTGTGTTGAACTCGGTTTTGAGATATCTGTGGACCGGAGATCAGAAAATGGGCGATTCAAAAATTTTAAAGTGAGTACCTCTACCAAAAATTAAAAGGATTATTTAAACAATAATTACTGTCTGACAAACTACTTGTTCGTTTTAGACCAGGGACCATTGTAGGGTTTTGTAACCCACTATTGGACATGACTGTTGTTGGAGATCAATCTTTGTTAGATAAATATGATCTTAAGGGCAATAATGCAATTTTAGCCGACGAAAAACACATGCCTCTCTATGGGGAATTATTGAATAATGAAAAAATAGAATTCACCGCCGGTGGTTCAGCTCAAAATTCTCTGAGGGTTGCTCAGGTATTTTATATCAATTCAAACTGAAAATATATTGTACTTAAATTGTTTTTTAAACATATATTTTCAGTGGGTTATTAAAGAACCTAATGTAGCAGTTTTTTTTGGTGCTGTTGGTCAAGATAAATACAGTGAAATATTGAAACTTAAGGCTAACCAAGAAGGAGTAGACGTAAAATATCAATATTCAGCAGAAAAACCTACCGGTAACAAAATTAATGTTTTTTTTTTTTTTTTAACTAATTTCGTACAAAATTTATGATCGCATAATTATAAATATTCTAAACAATACACAAACACTATTTTTATTTAGGAACTTGTGCTGTTATTGTAACAAATAATGGCAAAGATCGATCATTATGTGCCAATTTATCAGCTGCCCAGACATTTACTGAAGATCATTTAGATGTCCCGGAAAATAAGGCTATAATTGAAAATGCCGAGTTTTATTTAGTTACTGTAAGTTCTAAAATTTGACCTAAGTTATTCCGTTTACAATTAATATGTTGAATACGTATATCTGACCGTTTTAATATTATTATTTTATGACTTGAAAAAAAATCTTATTTATAATGAGTAAGTATGCTCGTTAACATTCTTAAATAATTTGTACATATATTGTGTGTAGGTTATTTAAAATTTTTAATACTTAAGTTAGGAACTAAAATATTGAGATAACTTAGACCAATTGATATATTATAATATATTATTATATTAATACAATTTTCATTGAATTTTACATTTATTTTATAAGAATATTATTGCATTTATTATCTTTAATTTTTAATCCAATCCAAATTTAAACTAGGATTTTAATCTTCACTAGTTAAACTGATCAGTTCTTTAATATGGACTTCTTTAAAAATTAAAAAATGCATGGTAATTATGGTCGTGTGCATAAAACCAATTATTTTTTATTCCATTTACATATTATGCTTTTAACACTAAATTAAATAATTCAAATTTAAACTTGATAAAATTTTATGAAAAGTAACAATGAATTTTATTTCTATAGTTTTTAGTGAAATAATATAATTTATATTTTTAAGGGTTTTTTCTTACAAGTCAATGCAAAAGCTGTTCAAAAATTGGCCAAGATAGCTTTCGAACGAAAACGTCCATTTTTGTATAATATGAGTGCTCCATTTATTTATCAATTTTACATGGATTCTGTTATGTCAATTTTCCCTTACATTAGTATTATAGTTGGAAATGATGAAGTTAGTTCAATTCAATTTTAATTGTGTTTAACAATATTATTCATTAGACATTTGTATTCAATTTTAGGAAGCTAAAGCTTTTGCAGAGGGACATAAATGGAATTTAGATAATATTGAAGAAATCGCTAGTAAAATAAGTAATTTTCAAGTTGAACAAATTGGACATCGTTTAGTTATAATAACTCAAGGCGAAAAACCAGTTATTGTTACTAAAGGTAATTATTTTTATTAGAATACTGAAGTAATTAAATTTTAACGTGTTGACTGTATATGTCTTTTCAGTTCTCACCGCAGTGCATACATATCTTCTTAATCCTATTCCTTTTAATCACGCTAAATAATAATCAAATATCATGCAGTCTATACTAAACTATTTCAAATGTATATTGGACGCTGACTTGGCGTCAAATAAGTAGCTTAACAGTCCTTATGACGCCAATTGCTGTCGGTACAAAGTTAACGTGTTAATAACAAGAAATGTATTTAATTTTAATATATAACAATTAAAAAGCTATCAAAAAAAATATAAAATACTATAGTATTTTATAGAATGGTGAATATCAAATATGCATTTGTTTAAATATTTATACAATTATTATCTATACTAATATCAGATTAGATAAATACTAATTAACTATAAACTAAAATTGAATATTTAATATTTGTTCAAAACAAACATACAATTATAAATACTTTAATAATATAACATATTATAATTAATTATAAATATTGTGAGATTTAAAATAATAATGAAAAGCTACGAGTATTATTAATTCAAATTGCATTATAACATTAGAAATTTATTTTGATTTTATCACTTAAAGACTCCTTTTAATATTTTTTTTATAAAAATGTTCTTTTTTTGAAATGCCTAATTTTTCTTAGACAAAAAATTTGTGTAGTAGGATACGAATGCTTAGGTGAATGAGTGAAATGACTGATGTGTGGCTTTGATAGTAAAAGTAATTCGAGAAAATAGCCTGATGGTTTGGGGATGTCATAAGGAGAGAGGAATCTGAAGAAATAAGAATTTTAATGAAAATAAATGTAGGGGGAAAGCGGTAGAGAGAAAGACCGAAAAAAAAGTGGCTGGATACAATTGAGAATGATATAAGGATGGCAAATGTATATGAGATCGGTCTGAGGCATTGGGTCAAGTGATAGCTTAAGCCGAGAGTGACTGATCCTAAATAGTTGGGATAAAATATGAAGGATATGAAGAAATATCTAATTCTTAAAAAATTACAATATACAGGGTGATTTTTTTTTATCATGAAACAACAATTATCTCAGAGGATTTTAAGTGAATTTGATTTCTTTTTTTTTCTAATCATTATAGAATCGTTTAAGCTTTATTTCAAAACCATTTTTAATTTTTTACCCCTACTTCATGTACCTTAAATAAGTACATACTTTTGATTTTCAAATAGAAACCCCCCTCTTTAAACACAGATTTGAATGAAAATATTTTTCTAGAAATGTTGATATACATAATACTAATATCAGATTTACCGTTATGAATTATAAAAGTTTAAAGCTTAGACCCTCCGGTAGAGTACTCCTCCGAGTAGGGAAATAAAATATGAAGTATTACTATTATCAAATTTCAAAATGTTTTTTTTTTATATAAAATGACTATTACAGTTTCAATATTATTAAATAGATGTAACTAAGGATTAAAGTACTGTCCAAAATGATTAAACATATTTCAAATAAAATAGTATGAAGCTAATTATTTTGGATAATAACACTACCAATATCAATATAATTAATACACATAAAAATCCAATTTTAAATATGCTCAATTTAAGTAATATATCACTACAATTTATTTAAATTTCAACAATCAAAATTTAAGTACCAAAATAACCATTTAATTAGTTGATAAAATAACACAAATTTGCTACTGCAATTTCTAGTTTGCCACAAAACACAAGTATCAATTATTGGAAAAATAATATGTTTATTGGCCAAATATTAGATATATTTTGTATTTAAAATTAATTAGAATATGTTTGACAATATAATCAATATTGATTTTTTTTTAGATGGAATTGTGACAAAATATCCAGTGGTCTCTATTCCAACAAGTGATATTGTAGATTCAAATGGTGCTGGTGATGCATTCATTGGCGGTAAGATTATTTTTAAAAATTGAATATATTTTTTTTAATTTCGGCTTTTTTTATTTAGGTTTTGTCAGTAAATATGTTTTAGGATATTCTACTGAAGACTGTGTAAAAGCTGGAATTAAAGCTGGGTCTTATATTATACAACAACCAGGGATGTCTAAAGGCAATTCATTTAATCTTGATGAATAAATGTTATTGTGTTAATAAATATATATATATATGTTATTACAACTCTTATTTATTTAAAGTTATTTGTATATGGACCAAGGTTGTTAGTTGCAATGATTAAAAAGTAAAACAATATATAGTAAATTCCACTTCATGGGAACAAATTGCCATAATCTCGAACAAATGTATTAGTTTTAGGCAATTTAACTTCGTTTATTGGGGACACACCATTGGTTATAAGGGACATGTATGTACATTTTATATTTTATTTTTATCCATAGTTTTTGCAAAAATTATTCAATTTATCAATTAATTTATAATAAATATGTATAATAAATCAATCAATTAACACTACTACTACTGTTAAATAATACAACTCATAATATTTTGTAAAAAAAAGTTATTATTTTTGTATATATATGTACTTGAATATTTTTCTTTTTTTGTTAATTTGGCTAATAAGGACAATCGAATAATGGGTTCAAATAGGTTACCGCCTGATGTGTCCTCATTAAGCAGATTCTACTGTATTTTAATTTATTTATTTGAAATAATAAAAAAAAAGAGCTGTTACTGGGAACAAAGTCCTAAGTTACTGAGTTGCATAGGAAGAATAATATGTAGTTATTTAATTTATATCTGTACACAAAGATAAACCATTGTTAATAAAAAAGCAATTCAAAATGAAGTTTAGTTAGACATAATTTGAAAATTTATAATTTTTACAATTTTCATCAAAATTTGATCTTAAAACATTTATGAAAAAATAAAAAACCAATACATTAAACTCAAATTCGTTTTTTAGGACACTAAATACAACTTATAATGTACCTTGTATTAAATTTTTAATACAAGATATTTATTAGAATACAAACTTTTGCTAATGAGCAATAAACTGATAAATTTGAAGTCATAATACACTTTACAGTTGCTTTAGTTTTAAAGCTTATACACTATACAATATAACTATAATTGAGTTGCTAAAATAATCTTAACATGCGAAATCAAATGACTTGCATTTAAATATACCTGGATATGGAAGCTGACCTCATTTGTGTTTATTTCTAAAACATATATAATACCCTTTTAAAAATGTGCATAGCATAAAGAAAAGGATATAGAGGTCCACTCCAGAATGTCAGATAAAGTATGTCTATGTACATTTTATAATTAGTATAGCTTTGGATACATACTCAGATTATTGTTTTTCATTTTTAAAACAACCGTGTGATATGCAGTGATTGGAGGTAGAGTATAATGCACTAACACATTTTTCATATGATAACAGATCAAATTTTAATTAAAATCGAGAATAGTTTACTACACAAAAGGGGCCATTTTTAAGTTTTGAAATTGTAAAATTTAATATAATAGTATATTGTACAAACTAATTTTATGGTACTGCATTTTATTTGATTGAAAAAAAATAACAAAAAAGTTCCATTTATTATATCAAAAAATTAGTAAACTAATTTTAAAAAAAATCGAAACCTGTAGTATAATACTTATAAAAAGTGACGATGATTGTAGAAAACTCTGTTTTTTTATGTCAATGTAGTGATAGTGGTATCATAATACATCAAAAGTAGTGATTTTCAACAACATGTGTACTAAATTAATCAATAAAAATTAAATAATTGAGTTAATTATTAATTATTTTATTTCATTTCATTATTATTTATTACTAGAATATATTTACACATACAAAAAGATAATAATTATGAATACTTGTTAAATAAAAAAGTTAACTTTATAACAATGGAAAACAATATTAGTAATCATTTAACTTTGCTACAATTTTTTTAAAACTAATCAATTGATTATCATCTAACCCAATATCATTGGCATATGTACCAAAATTTAATGCTAGCATCACAGCACAAGTCTTAGTATGAAGTTTCAAATATTCAATTTTCTTTTTTTTTTTATTGCTAACATTTATTTGAATTTCTAATTGATTTTTTAAATTTAAAATTGTACTAACAATTTGTCCCAGTTGTTCTCTGACTATACCATATTGGTCTTCTTTTAATGAAACCACGGCCAAATTTGAAAGTACATAACAACACCAAACGGTTTCTTCAAACTCTTCTAATGATTTTTCTTTGTCCAAGGGTGCAAAAAAGTAATTGTATATACGAACATTTTCAAAAAACTTAAGTATTGTATTCTTCTTTTTTACATTTTCTTCCTCTTGTTTTTTACTGTTATCATTCAATTTTATAAACATGTCATTTGGTATATTACGTCGGTTAATTGATTTTGGTGATACATATTTCACTGCATTTGTAATGTCTTCTGTAGTAGATTTAATGTTATTAATGCAAAAATTAAATATAATTTTCCAACTCTGGGGAACATTACCCGCAAAACTTAAATTAAATATTTCTTTTCTCCTATCTGCGTCTTTTAGTGTAGTTTGATACAAATCATACAGTGCTAATAATCTAACTATCTTAGTATCAGTATTCAATGCATTAAGTAAACAATATCCATCTTTTTGTATAGTCACAATTGGAAATGTAACTTGTTCCGTCATAGTTAAGTATACAATATACTCAAACGAATAAAACAAATACAAAACTAGTGCTATTGAAAACCATAAATTAATTATAAAATAAACATTGCAAGAAAATGTTGGTTCAATTGCATATAATGGAATAAATATGTAAAATAAATACGCAAATGATTTTTTCATTGACCTTGATATTATTTGTTTTAGTTCGGACATAAACATCGAGTATTTGGTAGTCTGTATGATTGGAAAGTGAGAATCTCGTTCAAAGTATACATTTTCATAATGGAATATAATACCAGTCAAAGCACGTCCAACATTGAGTAAATACCATACAGATTTGTCGTGACAAAATGGATTTAGCATGGACAGAAGCAACGCACTGACCGAACACAAGATTGCGAATAGCACCGTTTCAAATGATAATCCTTTGACAATTTTATAGAAACGATTCGTAGGCGACACATTTGTTCTTAAATATTTGCGTGATGTAACTATAACAAACAAAAATACGGCTACCAAAATTAATGGTGCGTACAGTAAATAATACAAACTGAATACGAGGTTGATTGATCTTAGTGAAAAAACTAATGCACTTGCATAGGTGACTAAAAAAGAACTGAATATTGACTTTAAAATTCTTGAAAAAAAAATATATGAATTGAACGACATTCTAAGGTTTTAGATTCTTTTTCCAACACAATACTTCCCTGTTTTTAACATAATACATAGAATAACAATTCTAAAAATTATTTATTATATTAAGTAAAAAAAATTAACTGAACACAATTGAGCCGTTACAAAATAAAACACAAAATATTGAAATGCAAAAACGGAAAAAACTAGCGGCTACATTGGTCAGTTGTTATCATACCGGGTTTTGAGGTTAAACCATTATTCTATGGTTAAGTTGGTTTAAATTTACCAGTTACCAACTTTACTTACCACGTTAAAAGTAACTACCATAGACCTATTATGGTAACCATGATAATATATAAAAGATAAATCAAAATAATTCCACTGATAGCGTTAGCCATCAGCTATGGAGTTATAGAGCCATAACAATTTTGTCACGTATGGCACTAGTCTTTAGTTTAATATCTGATTTTCGTAGTAGTTTACTGGTCACGTTTTCATAATGTTTTCATCTATTTGGCCCGTATTCCAACCCGTGTCCTCTATATCTTAAATCACGCTCTAAGTATAAAGTATAAGACATAAGCATAGACTTTTAGAAAGTCTTCTGTAAGTCTATGGGTATTACACAGACATAGATAAAAAACTGGATTGCTTACTCGTAACAATAGTTCAAGTTAAAATCTGCCGTTTTTATGGGATTCATGGATCCACGAGTTAAGATTCGTGATAAACTCTGTGGTCTTATCACATCTTATTCTGTCATCCATAGGAAATATTTTGTTTTATTGTTAAAAACAGATTCCTTCTTCAATTACATTTTTATATTATGTAAGCACTGTTTTTAGGTACTGAACGACGAAGGATATTCATAAATTATATGAAAAATTGAATAGGTACTTAATTTAAAAATGAAATAATAATATAATCATTTTCCAAAAGTATGGGGTACAGATGTATAATGGTGGGTTGTTTCCTCATAATTAGAGTATCCTTGAGTCTAGGTTCTGGACAACGTCAAATTTTATTTTTATATAGGATCTACAAACTTTAGTGGCTGAATCGTCTGTCAGTTGTTAGTATTTTTTTTTTTTTTTTTTTTTAGATTTGAAGCAGCACCAATCAAAATCGAAAAATGTGTATACACTAAAACCAGATTTGTTGAGATTTTTACAGTCGTCAGCGAAACAAATGATCGACATATTTATAGTTCAATTGAAATACAAATTATAAATAAAACAAGTGAAAAAAAAAAATAAATGCCAATTAACCATTTAAGATGGATTATCTCATATTAAAATCATAAATCATAAATATTCACATTATCATATAGGTGTTTATAATCTCAATGGTATACCGCAGCAAAATGATTCTTCGCAGGAACAAAATTCAATAAGAAATGTTACTGCCAGATTTAGGATTATGAAGGTCCGGGGCCCATTTCTTAATCTTATTTGATTATGCGCGGTGCATATTCGTACCTACAAAATACCTACACACGGTGGCGCAATAACCGGCCAGTTGATGGCGATGCCTACATCGAGGCCCCAAGGCTCAAAGGGGGCCCCATTATAGTTTTAAACTGGGAGGGTATTTTTAACGCAATAAATTAACATCAAATCTGCGGTCGTATAAAATTGTAAACACGGTGAATAGTGATGGGTACTGACCACGTTTTCTTATCTTTGCATTAATATATGGGTCATTTGTCTGCGACTAACGATTGTCCAGTTGTATAAATTTGTAACCGGATGAAGAATTTTGTAACCCGCTGTTTTATCACGAATCGTTAAATATGCATAAAAAAAAAATGGTAAAGTTAAGAATTATGTTCTTAAAATTACAAAATCACTAAATAGGTATGCAAACAAATGCACTGTAAACTTTGTACATGCAACTTTGTATGTTGTTTTCGTTGTTTTGATTTCTAATTTCTATATAGCTTACTTAGCAATAAATCTATTGGCTCATACGCAAATGCATGTTCTGAGCTCTGTTGATAACTTTTATTTGACTTTTATTGTGTTTTGCTCATCGGCCTTTCCTAATGTAATCTAAGTAATCAAAGTTCTAGTTGCGCCACTGTGTATACTCACTAAAAAATGTACGACTGCATCACTGGTGTTGTCCCATTTAAGCCAATTGTTGATGCACCTCGTAAATTAAAATAAGCTCTCACGCATGTAGCTGATTTTATTTACATTAATCCCCTGTATTATTAATTTTCGTGATCTGCGTGAATTTTGCTTTATCGGCTAATTGTTACACGAACGTTTGTGGTTACAAACTAAGATATAATTATTTAATTTTATTTAGTCAAATGTAGCTTTTAAAAGAATTACATAATAAATAATAGTGATAATAACATAGATTGCGGCAAAATGTTTTATTTGAAATGCTAAATTACTTAATAGGTAGAGGAATTTTTAAAATAATAATAATAATAGTAATAATGTACAAAAAATGTTACCTATTTAAAAATACGAATGTTCATTATCGCGTTTTTTTTTTTTAAATTACACATTTTTTATGTAATAATGTATCATTTAATTCTCTAATTTCTTCTGTTGTTGATCGTGTTATTTGTTGAAGAATTTTTTTATTATCGGGTTTAGTATTTTAGTTTGTTTTACACGGAATAACTTCGTTTTTATTTGATGCAACATTAATACATGCGGTTAAGGCGTTTAACATTTTATTTTTTTCTCCCATAGTTTTGTATAACTCGGTTCGTTGGAGATCTAACATTAATAAACTAAAGAAATAAAACTAAATTTGTATATGTCACGCATATGTTAGACAAAACAATGTTAAAAATTTAGCACAATGTAACAATTTAGAGTATATGATTTGAGTGGTGTAGACCTTTCTTATGGGGTTGGAGAGGGGGGAGGGGTAGCGAAATAAATTTTCGCTCACTCTTAAAGGAGCACCAAAAAAAAAAAAAAAAAATAATAAAGTTTTTGGATTTAAAAGAACGTCCAATTCTAAGGATTAATGTTAATGGTATAACGTTATAGGTTTAATGTTTCTACTCGCATTATCCAATGCGTTATAACTTTGTGAGGAATTCAAAAAAAACGAGTAATGTCTTTGGGCCGGGTTCACGGAATTTGCCTACCTTATACGAGTTTAGGAAATAAAACAAAGTGGAAAAAATAAATTATCGACACAGGTATTATATTTGACTCGAAATAAGAACAATTGGAAAAAAGAAATTTGGATTTATACGACTATGATTTATAATTTATAATTATTTATTTTCGAAAATTAATAGGTACATTATATTATTATTGGTACCCATACTATATAATAAGTCATGTGAAATAATAGTACATTACATCATGCATAGGTACAATGACGAAATAATACTCGTGAGTGTTTTACGTTAAATCAATCACTCGGTAGGGTGCACATTATATACACCTAAAATTATTACTCGTATCTATACATTAATGGACGGTAATCAATGGTCTCGACGCAATCAAATAACAAAAAAAAAAAAAATTCGTTACTGATTTCGGTTCGGGTTTTTTAAAATTACAGAATTAAGGTTTCGGTTCTGATACCAGTAAATACTGGTATTTAGAGGTACCTTTATATTTGTTTAAAACGTAAAAAAAAGAAAGACAGATAATTTTAACAATTTACCACGTCTAAAAAACTATTTTATCTATTACTTATCAGTCAAATTGTCAAGTCTCTACGTATTTTTCAAACTGAATTACAACAAAAAAACAAAATTGAAAATAATAAAAGCATTATATTTGTAAATTTTCTGGTTCTTTCTGAGTTGTTTTTTTTTTCGGTTTTCAAAAAACGATTTTCTTACTCACCAACAATATTAAAAGTGCAACAATATTATGATCCCTTGTCGTTTTTCTATTGGAGCAATATTTCTGGTAGAAAATATACATACGTAATATTGTCTAAAATTATAAGATCAAATTATAGCTGTCCTAGAGTAAGTTGGCTATTTTGTTTGAAAAATATCCAAAACAGAAATTAAAAAATAAGTCCGACTTTTATATTATACATTTTTCTTTATTTTGCATATGTACACGATAAAATGGCTGTAACATAAATTTTGAATCGCCCACCGTGCAGATGGAGTCCGTAAACCATTACTCATCTGTATTACACTATTATCGCATAATTTGATTGGATATTTTGGCACGCTGTGCCGTTTTTAGTGATGGCCACTGCCGAATAACGACTATCGAGTAATTCCAAATAAGTGTTATTGGAATAAAATGAAAATAATGTTGCCCGATCAATAGTGCGTATTATTTTGCATCATTCGGTATCATATTGTAAGAATAATCGAACATCAATCGATGGTGGTAAATATTCGTTATCGCATATTACGCACAGATTTTACTTTCATAAGAAACTGTTCAGAAACCATTTAGTACACATTATACGGCATAGTATTCATTACGCATGTGTAGGTATGCATAAATAATTAGGTGTATATTCGCCTGTATTATACAATTTTGATTGTTTTACGTTTCAATAATAATTGTATTACACGTCATTCATCGTCATTAGACGGCATCCAAAAATTGATTACAATTAAGAAACGATCACGACCACGGGCTTGTACAAACCGATGGTCCGATAAGAACATTTATTAATTATATATTTTTATTTTTGGTAACCTGGCCCCCATATTGTTTAACGGTTATCTGAAAATATATTATAGAAATATAGAACATAAATACGCGTGCACATTTGCACCAACCAAATTTAACGAACCAACCTAAATATATATATAAAAAAGTTAAACGCCTACAATTAAAACGGAAAAAAGGCCGAAAAATTATCTTCCGAAAAATATCGGCTCCGGTTCCTGTTTAGGTTTCTAAGAAAATCGAAAATTGGTTTCGGTAAGGTTCCGCGATATTTTCAAAATGTTCCTGGTAAATACCGGTATTTTTAATTTCGGCTCCAAGCCCTGAATTATTGAAATCAAGCGTTTAAAATTTAATTCGGAATAATTAATAATTGATATTCTAGTTACTCGCACATTCTTTCCCAAGGTTACAAAACCGATACCTAGTCTCCAATGACAGCCAGGTCACCCGTTAGTCGCGACAAATTTGTTCAAAACCGTCAAAATAATACGTTTATCTTTTTCTACGTGATAAAACAAAGAGGTATGCTGTTGGGTTATTTGTTTTATCGTGATATTTATATCTCTTTGCGTTTAAATATAAAATCAACGACGAGTCACAGTTCGTGTTCAATTTATTTGTTACCTGTCAATCAGGTAGGTTATCGTATTGGTATCAGTTGAACGATGTACCCATGTACAGGGCCCAAAGTAGCACAATACAGCAAAGGGTACTTCGATACAATTTTAATAAATAAAAACATTTTTAAATTATTATAAACATTATAATTTTGGGAGCTTTTCACGTTATTTTTAGTCAGTAGGTACTTTTTTGATAAAATTGTCAGTCTAAACAGTAATGTTTGAGAATTTAACAGGAGGTTCATTATAAGTTGTATTTAATGATCAACAAGAAAAAGTTGAGTTTAATGTAGTATTTTTTCTATCGTGTATGTTTTCACTCTGTATAGTCTGCATACAACACCGTGAACTAGCTGTAGCCGCTGTTATAGATTTAGACATTTATTTAGTACTATTGATTATTTATCGTAAAACTATTAATTTAGTAGTTATATTTATAGTTAAATAGTTATCTGCTTTTACTAATGCAAACTAAACACGCTATGACAATCTAGGAATAAACTAGTTCGCCTTATTTGCAATATTATGTCTACTGTTCCTTCTATTAATTGTAATTTGTACAATGTTTTATACTAATTTACAAATTTTAGGGGAGTATGTCCACCCCTTAAATTAGGTGTGGCATCCGCTCCACCTAGTGTATAAGTTCGGCACTACTGTGTATTGGTATTTTTAACCGTGGTTAAAACTTTAATCTATCAACCGTTAGTTAATCATTATATTCATGTTTAACACTAAATGTATCAATAGATAACGACAGGTTTTGTGCAACTGGGCATTAGTCTATGGTCCAAAGAGTCTATTATAGTTAATGATAGTTAAAGCCGTGGTCCAAACTATTGCCATATATTTATGTACAACAGGATTACTGTGTCCCTCCTAAACGTTTGTTAATATTTATAAACATGTCTATTAAACATCGTGTAGTTTTAATTGGCTAAAGTGCACTTTGCTACGCCCCTCACAAATTTCAAAATCAGAATTTGAAAAGTCGCGTTTTTCGATGTTGATTCTGAAAGTCCTGGATTTTTTAGCCAAATCTTTAAACCATTTTAAGAGGACGCTGTATACCCGCGTGAGCTATCTTAGTTCAACTAACGGAAATATAGCAAAATCTACCTTACGCAGACTGCGTAGAACTCGCTTAATTTTGGTTTTTAAAATAATTTTAAAAACTTCGGGAATTCGGCATAAATGTCATTGTAGTGTCTGGGCCGCTAAATTAAAAGTCTAAACGTTTAAATTAAAATTAATAATTCGTTTTGAGTTTAATTATATTTATTCAATGTTTTAATGGTGTTTTTTTATCAACAGATGTATGTTTAGGCGGTAAAATAATAATACGGTATGCCTGACCCATAGAGTAATACTATTGTTCTATGGCCTGGCCTCAGCTGACATAATGAAAACCCGAAAGCGGAGAAGGCGAAGCACGACGACAAGCCATCCGACAAATAACTACACGACATAAGGCCACATGATAATAATCCACGGATCAGAATCCGACAAAAAACCACTATACAACACTACCAACTTTTACATTTTAGGAATCGAAACCACTTGACGACATACAGCTCTACCAACGTAACCAATCAAATATTGCGGTACAATCATTTTACAGTATTTGTCGACAAATATTCACTGAAATTATTTTATAATTATTATTAAAACGAATATTATGTTTCTTTTTTATATATTGATGGTAATGTTATTATGAATTCATAGCATAGCTTGGCATTTCATTATTTCAACTGCATTCATTCTGTTGTTTTTTTTTAAGTTATATATTTTGTTTTTATTTTTTTTTTTCTGTAAAATACTGATTTTGTGTAAAAAGTACAAATACATTTTTATGGAGAACACAATAAATTAAATTTTTTAATATAAATGTGATATTCAATCAAATATACGTTTTATTGTTGCATTCTGACAGTCGCATATTGGGCATCAAATTATTATTTGCTCCACACAGTCAGAATCTCAAAACACAAACATTTATGTCCACAAGGGATACATGCGTGGATTTTTATTATTAACAAAACGTACATCGCAGTCTCATTAATCATTTTTGATACAATACTATTTTGGTTAACAATTACATAATAGATATCGGTGACTTTTTTTGTCGAAAGAAATACCGTAAAGTTATCGCATTAAAATATATCATATATTAATGTATGGTTGGTAGTGTTGTCTGTTATAGCGTATTCACGGGGCCTTTTGTCGCGTAGTTATTTGTCGGGCGGTTTTTTAACTTTATTTACATAATATTATCAAATGTGAACCTAAAAATTCTGTTATTCTAGTATTGCATGATGGTATTTTGTCGAATCTCGAATGGCTCTTTGTCGTTATCCGGTGTCTTTATGTCGGTTGGTGGCTTTATGGGTGTCACCAAACTGGATACATAGAAAAAAGTGGGGATGCGCTTAATAAACTAAAACTCGATCGTAAACTGACACACCTATCGGTTTTAATATTCAAGAGTGAATAAAAATATCATACTCATAAACAAAACAATACAATTACCCACCTGTTGACTGTTGTTAGCTAATTTTAATGCACCATGATTAACGTTTAAAAATTTGTTTTGTAATTTTTTTTTTTAAGTATGAATATATTAATCAAATTTACGTTAACTGCATTTTGTTTAGCTTCATGTAAGTAAAATATTATATTTTAATTGAAATTTCAGTGATTGAAAATATTTTATAAAGGTGTGCCATCTATATGCTTCCTTTTTTATTCAATTAGTTCGGTTCTTACCTATTAAGATTTTCATCATAATTTTTATAATGAATAATTTATGAACATGGATTTAATGTTGAACCTAGTTACTTCTTATTAGCAATATATTTTTGTTCTAGTTTGTGGAAGTTATGAACTTAACAAGAAAAATTCACAATGCAAAATACCATTGGTAATCCGAGGGCAATGGTATTCTTGGGAAAATGGCCATAGTACAATAACAGAAATTGATGCGACAAGCATGTCTCAAAGAGGCGAATGCATTAGATCAATGGAAGAAAATCAAGTGAATTTCACATTTGTTTTCCAACAAAATAATGATGACTGTTATACTTGTGTTAAATTCATGGTACGAACTGTCAATGTATTGGATAAAATGGAGAGTAAGTTATTAAAAATAATAAATCTAGAATATATTTAAATAAAAAAAAAAAATATTCTAGGTGTTTGTATGACATTAAATCCCAATGAGAAAGAATCTCCTGATAAAATATGTCAATTTCAAGACACCCAATTAATTACATTGTTTTCGGAGAATTATATACCAGTAAACTGTCGTTCGAGTCTTGAAGGTGTATGGCAATTTGCATACCAGGTAATATTTTTAATGTTTCTGTTTCAAGTTGAGATTTATTATTTATTAATTAGTTGAATTTGTTTTTAATAATAATAATATTATTATTATTTTTTAAAAATTAACAATTATTCAAATGCTAACTCTAAATTTTAATTTTTAGAACCGTTTTCGTTTCACTGGTGAATGTAATCATCCTGAAGCTCAAATAAAATCTTGTCAGACTGCTGGAACACAATTTTTAATAACTAATCAAAAATTTAATATAACATATAAACATTGTCCGGGTATGGAAGGGACATTTGACGGAGGTAAGTTTATTAAAATAATGTTATGTAATACATTGTCATAATTTGCCCTTTTATTTGTCAGTTGTGGAGTACAGTTGCTTAGGAGATTGGTTTGTTGACAAAAATCATTTCTTTGCTGTAGCCAATACTAAAGAATCTCGTAAAGATGAGAAATATCGATGTTTCTTAAAAAATCGGGATGATGACCTGTACATTGGTTCATCAATAACAGCAGAGTGCAATACACTTCAGACAGTAGAAAAGAGTCCAGAAAGATTACATATCAATCCTGGTAATATTAATTAATTATTAAATTTGTTGTAAATATTCGATAAATCAATCCATACTATAAGTGTGTATTATTATTTATAATTAATCTTGCAAATTATTCGTGGACGAAATAATCTTGGATTAATTTAATCTAGTGTGTTTCACTTAAATGGTAACACGAAAAATATTTCTGTTCAGTGACCTCGGATTGAAATAAAATTTTCAAGAGAAGATAGAAAATACTGAAATACACATTTTGTATGGATTTTCAAATTTCTTACTCTTTTAGTGTTCACATGCGCATTAAAAATAGAACTTGCATTTTTTTAATGGAAACGCCTATTTCCAACACTTGATTTGGATAAATTATTATTCTTTAAGTAACTTAAATAAACTTTTCCCTTTTTTAAAAAATTGAACGAAATAAACCTAGTTAAAGTTGAAACAAAATTATTTTATTATTATTAAATTTATTTTATTTTAAACAATTTATTACATAAAATACTCATCAGTCATCATTTTCTTATAAATTCTAGTTATTATCAGATGAACCTTCCAAGCTATCGGTCCATATGTCCTCATCCAACAATTTTCAAATGTGCTACATGAGTATTGTCTTACAATAATACTATTGTGCGCAGAAGCACCATTTTGTTGAAAAAATAAGTTTTCTCTAATATCTAATGGAACACTCTCTAAAAATGGTGGTAAATGGTTAGAGAGAAAATCCAAATATCTCCTTACATTTAATGTTCCATCATAAAAATACGATTCTATTAATGAACCTCCAATTAATTCACACCATACATGATAGTTTGGCTGGTGTGTTCATCTGTTTTAATGGCTCTAGATTTTTTTCTTTATGGACATTTAAAAACTGTAGTTTATGCTAACCCATTAATTAGTCTCTAGCATTTAAATCAAAAAAATCGCTGAAGCTGTGAGCATACAACTGACAAACAAACAAATTATGGCATCTACTCAAGATGAAATCATGTTTAGAAGCATGTATACAACATAACTGACAAAACTTCAAATAATTTATGAGATAATGATGATTGATGAGTTTTTTTTATAATATATTGTTTAAAATAAAATAAATTTAATAATAAGATACTGGTTTGTTACAGCCCCACGGTGGCGAGTGAAAACTTTATAGCTTCGCCACTCAGGTTTATTATCGCCCACCATCCATGTAACAATAAATACACCTTATAAATATAAAATAATTTGATGAAAAATATGTACCATAACTATTAGGTGCCTACCATAGGTTTTTATCACAAATAATCAATAATATAATAATATAATAAACTAATATAAAAATAATGAGTTTATTTATTGATATTTATTAATCTAAATCTAATAACTCAACGATATATTGATATAATATCATGGAAAACATTAACATTTTTAAACTTATATCATTATTTTATATTTATTATTATTACATTTTTTAATATTAATTATTTTAAATATTATATCAACATATCGTCGAATTATTAAATTAATAAATATCAATAAATAAACTAATTATTTTCTACATTGGTTTATTATATTATTGATTTTATTTGTGATAAACACCTATTGTAGGCAATAATAATAGTAATAGTACGTATTTATAGTTACATATTTTTACATCAAATTATTTCACATATATGCAATGTATTTATTGTTAAAATGGATCACTTAACAAACCTGAGCGGCGAGTCTATAAAGATTTTATACGCTGCGGCGGAGCTATAACAAACCAGTATCAATAAAGATAAAATAATTTTGTTTCAACTTTAACTAGCTGTATTTCGACTAATTTTCGAGATAATGGAAAAAGTCTAATTATTTAAGTTGCTTAAATAATAAGTAATAAGAAATAGGTGTTAATATTTTAACATTAAAAGGCTAAAAAATTTAAAAATCCATACAAAATGTGTAGTTCAGTAATTCCTATCTTCTCTTGAAAAAACCCCATTTCAATTCGAAATCATTGGACAGAAATAATTTTTGTTACCATTTGAGTGAAACACTATATATTTGTTTTAATCGTTTATTATTAGACATAACATAAAAATACATTTGGGGATTAATTTATGATACTCTGAGTTATTGTTTTTTTTTTTATTTTTTTTAGAAAGATTTAGGCCCATTTTGCTGAATCCCATCTCACCGAAACCCATCTTGTCGAATCATAATATTTATTATACCATAACTAAATTTTGTTCGTTTTGTGTTAAATAAATAAAAAATTAATATATCATTTTACATATTTAATAAAAATATATAAACATTCGTCAATATAAAATAAGAATGATAATTGTTAGGCAGGTACTACATATTTACTGATTATATAAATATTTTAGTTTTAATCAAGATGAATGTGGTAGATAATTTTTTCTAGATATGTCATGATTGTTATTTGATTATTTCCAAATCTGAATTAAAATATACATTTCAGGTATTAATATATTGAATTGTATGATTAATTAATTAGTATTTACTACTCTTTTGCTGTCTATAATCTGTCTTCTAATGTTTTATATTTTTTCTTATTTTTGGAGCTTGGTTACATTTTTTTTTTTTGGGCAGTATCAAGCTCAAAATTTTGTTTTTGGTTTTTTAATTTTTCAATAAAAATAAAAATGTTTGAATGTGGGTGACATATAGTCTTGTTAAGAGCTGCATGCCAACCTCCGAGGTGGTTAATTGCCCTTATAGTGTTTTATAGTGGTTCCATAATCCATATGCTACATATAATACATAGACAAAGTAAAAAGCTGGGCTTTTTTGGCATAATGGAATTTGGCTAAATAGGATTTTTTATCAAACAGCATAAAACTGGTTTTTTTTGTCCACAAAATGGGACTATACAGTTAAAACTTGTGTACCCTAGTACAAGCTATGTTTTTGGGAGAGAGCAACAATATATTTATTATACTAATGTATAATTATATCAATTTATTTGTACAGTAAAAGCTGAAGTTGTTGAGCCTGGTTGTCGATTACCCCAGAATTTTAGTGGAGACTGGGTAAATACAGCCAATATGGACGCTGATGTATTTGTTAATGAAACTCATATAATTGAAACATGGTATCCAGATGAAGCACGATTTAGGCGAACCATATATGTGTGTCGTGAACAGAGAGGATCTCGTTACATGATGGCTAGACTTACAGTCGATGGCTGGTATGATGTATATTTATATTTTATATTTTATTATTATTATTATTGTTATCTAATATCAAATATATTATTTTAAATTTAGTCAAAAAGATTATGTATGTTTCGATTTTGTACCTCGTCATCATAATATAATCCGTTATAGGAGAGGTCTAGCCTTTATAAAAGATAATTTCCATACAGTGTGCTCATGGGTACAATTTCCGAACAAAAATAGTTGGAAGTATGATATTTTTGTCTGTAAGTACATTTTGATTTTTGAATAAATAAATATTAAAGCTTACAATTATATTTTCAGCCAAAAATCCTGTTCCAATAAGATGTCCAGTTGCGGGTAAATTCAATTTTACTCAAAAAGGTGATTTTTTGTTTGAAACTCGTATTCTTGGTGGTGTTACACTATCACCTCGTCCACAAATTACATGCAAGGATAAAATATCAGATTTTGCTGCTTGTGATGGTGATCAAAAAGAAATTACTATTGACGAAACATTCTGTCTTGATGTGGATCATCGTGGACAGCCTATTGACATTTATAGTGATCCAGATTACCGATTGCAATGCATTGGTTATTGGAAGGAAAACTTAAAGTCATATTTAATAACATATGATCCTCTTGATGCTGCTAGTATTTACAGATGCTGGGTATACCAACGAGCTGATCTTAACCGTGTACTGATGTCACAAGCTATAGGATCCTTTTGTGATCTTAAACAAGATGCATTTAGTAGTAATTATACAGAAGGAGCAACTGTTGCTGTTGAAATGACAGAATATGAACGTGAACGTATGTACTTTACTAATAATACATTGTATGTATAATACATTTTATTGTCTAAATGATATTTTGTTCTATAATAATTTTGAATCTTTCTTTTAAACATATTTACAGGAAATTATAGAATTTATCATAGTGGTAAAAATAAAAAATTTATAATTTTATACTTTATATTATAAATAAATAAATATGGTACAATTAAAATAAAATAATAATTTATAGGTTTTAGTTTTAATTCAAATTTGTATGACTTTATATTATTTATTTAAATGGCATAGTATTTATAGTTAGAGAATGGAATATACAGAACAAATAGGGAAATCAAATTAATCTATCAAAAAATTAGTATCAATTCTCTCCTAAATGGAGATCAAGCAGCCTTTTGAAGAAATTTTTGTTGGGAAGTTAAATGGGAAAAGACCAAGGGGCCTTAGACAATGTTGGGCAGACAGTAAATGATGATTGAATCAAATGTAAAAGTAAAAATAGAATATATTATTGATAAAGAAGTGTAGTTAATCTATTGAGGAGCTTTACAAGAACTAAGAACTTTAGATAAATAATTTGTTTATGTTTCAAATTAAAGAAATAATGACACTGTCTTATAAAATATTTATGTAGATAATTACTTAAGGAATTAAAAATGTAATAATAGCATGATATAGGACTTAAATATGATGCAATAATAGTATTTAAAGTATGAATGATTGAAAACAATAAATTGCTTATGTGAATTATACTATTTTCTGTGTAAAAACTATAAAAGTTTACCAAAATAAAAATATCTAAGTTTTTTGAACCTTTAACAGTAATATTAAATTTTTTTTTATTTGTATTACAGGGGATCAATGTCCAATGTATTTTGATGATGGAGCAAATCCATGGGTCCATTCAGATAATTATATACAAGTATTTAAATATGGCCGATCTTCAACATTGATTGTTTCATCAAGTTTGCTTTTAGTATCTATTATATTTACTATTCTGTTGTAAACATTATAATTAATGATACATGAGATCATCAAATACTATATTATGACTAAAAACCGGATTTAATTACATTTAAAACACGTCAAAATTAATTATTAAAATTATATAATTGCACTACAAAAATGCAAGTTATATAAAAAAAATCAAATAAATGTTACTTTTTTAAATTAAAATTGATAATTAGATACATTTTTAAATTATTTTCATTAAAATTAAATCTCCCATTACTTAAAATATATATAAATTTACAATACTTATATATCGGTTATATATTTAATCAGATCTGATTTATCTTTATTGCAAAAAAAGTTGCAATATCAATTAAATCCGGTCTTTAATCATGACAATACCGGATCATTAGCATTAATAAATTATAAATAAATAATACACAACAGTTTTTTTTTTTTTTTATGATAATATTGCCAAAATCAAATTAAATTTGGGTTTGTTGATTTGATTATAATATAGTATTTGCTGAGCTACAATTTATTGATAATAGTTTCAATGTACAACCATTACCTATATAATGGTTCATAAAAAATGAAATTTGAAAAAATATGTTTTCTCATCAATAAATTACAATAAGGCAATTAATTTATTATTATTCTAATAAGATAAAAACCACAATGTAATACAGTAAAACCTTAATAAGATTGGATTGCTTGGGATCAACCAATTTGTCTGTCTTAACAGGATTTCTAGTTTGATGAGATTCACAAAATAGAAATTGTTTTCTTTTCAAGGATTTACTGTACAGCTTACCATTTATATTGGTAAATTTTAAAATCTCTTAGTTTTAATTATTATCTAATTTCTTATGTCATCTCATATACTTAATATATATATTTTTTTAATTTTTATACATTATTATGAACAAAATATTTTGATTTTTAACTTTTGATAATTTTCTAATGTTAAAACTATTAGAATTATCTTAAATCATGATGCGTATTTTGGCAATGCAGTTTTGAACAACCATATTAAACTTGCTACTTTGGTGATATTTTTTACTGCAATTGTTTAATAACTGAATGCATTTATCAATAACCAGGTGGCTGAAATCGTCATTCAATTAGAAATTAAGTTTACTGTTTTTGTTTATTGATTATATATTGGTAAAACACTGTACTAAAAACCTGCACTGCCATTATTAAAAATCGACAATTACCGTAAAAACTTACTTAAATATATAGATCAATATATTTTGTATAAATAGTAAATATTTTATATTTTGATGCTGTCCATTACTTCAAGTAATTTAATTGTATAATATTCAAATGTGAAATAAACTGTACATTTTTCAAATTATTTATAATGCTGTTATTTTTTTAAATATTCAACCTACCTACTGTTTATAGTTTTAACTTTAAAATAAGTTGTCATTTTAGATTCTGAGAGTAACAAATAATGTATTGGTTTTAGTAGTTTTACAAAGATGGTTTTTTTTTTATATATACTATGTACAAAAATTCTAGGAAATGTTGTTCAGATGGTACTTTTGAGAGGTCATTTTTGATTTTCATTATATCTGGAAAAAACAGGAAATATCCAGTTAAAAATATTCATAGAAACTTGTAATTTTGGCAGAAAACATATATTCGCCTTTTCTAGTCATGGTAACATTTTCAAAACATTTGAGCCATTTTTAAGCTTTTTATACAAATGTTAAGTTATAAATATTCATACGGACTTGAAATTTGAATGGAAAACTCGTATTTATTTTTTTTAGACATACAATTTTCAAACAATTTTAGCCATTTTTGAAGCTATTTAGAGACATTTTAATTTTGCAAGTTTAGTATGTAATTTTTATTCGATAGGTACTCTGTAGTTGGGAAGGTAGGATACATGGTTATTTCATTTATATCTGTGAGCAACGATAAACCATTGCTTGACGAAGGACAATTCCGAGCTCAGTTCGGTAATAAATAATTTGAAGTGTTGTAATTTTTTTTTGTTTAAATTTTATTTCAGTCTTATTGAAAAAAAAAATTGTCTGATGATTTTGGAAATTTTACCACGTCTAGGTAAGTCCAATATAAATATTATTACCAAGTTTTAAGTTTACGTGTATTTATAACCGAATTACTATATATTATAACCGAAAAATGAAATGTATATAAATGAATAAATGATCTATTTATATATTTTAAATCAGTATGCAAGTCGTCGTGGGTCTTCTCGGCAAATCCGTTTAATATTCTCCCCTGTATTTCTTTTATATATTAAACATAAAAAAACTTGACACACACCTTACCTTACCTTAGTAACACAAAATGTACAAGGTTGGTCAAAACGTTTCTATGGTGTCTATGGTAATTAATAAAAATAAAAATAATAATGAAGATTTGTGTTCCATATTATACAATAAACTGTAATGTTATAAACAGTCTATATTTTAGTGTATCTGTATGCAACAATAAACCATTGCTATCGAAAAAAAGATTCTGAGCGAAATTCAGTTGATAGTGATGCTTTGTCAACAATATATATGTCATATCTTGGTAAAATAATTAAATAGTCATTATTAGAGCCCGGATTTATATGCATTTGCATGTTTGTATTAAGTGTATGCACGTCTATGGGGGTTTAAAATGTCCACGGATCATATCACACCGAATTTAAACTCCAAATTTTATATTGCATATTTTGCATATTTCGAGGGTTATTGCATATTTGTTCATAAATGCATATAACATGAATATTTAATGGGTTTTTAATAAATTAACTATGAATAAACATACACTCGCGTCCCAGCTTATTATGTCGATATCATTCTATAANCTGCAAATATACCTTGGTTTAAACTACAAAATCCAGTCTTCCGCGATTTTTTACAAAATTATACAAAAAAACACATTCCTGATGAAAGCACTCTACGTAAGTCTTTCTTACATCCATGTTATGTAAAAACAATTGAAAAAATTAGAGAAAAAATTGGGGACTCGTATATATATTTAGTCGTTGATGAAACTACAGATATCAATGGTAGTTATATTGCAAACCTTTTAGTTGGTGTGTTAAATGAACAAAATGCTAGCAAACCATTTTTAATTTCATGTAAAAAATTAGATAAAATTAATCATTCGACGATTTCTCGCTTTGTAAATGACAGCCTAAGAATATTGTGGTCTCGTGGTGGGAATGATGAAAAAGTATTAATTTTATGTTCCGATGCAGCGCCATATATAATCAAAGCTGGTAAAACACTAAACGTATTTTTTCCTAATATGATACACATTTCACTTGCTCACATGATCCAACGTCTAGCAGAAAAAGTTAGAGAAATGTACCTCAATGTAAATACTTTGGTAAGTAATTTAAAAAAAGTATTTCTTAAAGCACCTCAGAGAGTAGATGTATACAAAGAAATAACGCCCAGTGTGCCCTTGCCGCCAAAACCAGTACTAACCAGATGGGGGACATGGGTTGAAGCAGCTAATTTTTGTGCAGATCATTTTGATAATCTTAAAATAATTTTACAAAAACTAGAAGATAAAAATGTTGTTAGTATATAAAAATGTATTAATATGCTAAGTCTGGAATCTGTTAAAAGTGACTTTAAATTTATTCAAGTTCATTTTTTTATACTAGTGAAAAGTATAAAAAATTTGGAAGATTCTAGTTTAACATTGTCTGATTCTACTCAAATTGTAAATAATGTTATTTTGGCGATGAAAAAAGTACCAGGACAAAAAGGAAAACTAATTCTACAAAAATTGTTTTATTTAATTGAAAAAAATGTTGGATTCCAAACCGCGAAGCAGATAACAGCAATTTTGTCAGGGAAAGAAAACAGTATCATGCCACCAAACTTANGAATCTGTTAAAAGTGACCTTACATTAATTCAATCTCATTTTTTTATACTAGTAAAAAGTATAAAAAATTTGGAACATTCTAGTTTAACTTTGTCTGATTCTACTCAAATTGTAAATAATGTTATGTTGGCGATGGAAAAAGTACCAGGACAAAGAGAAAAAATAATTCAAGAAAAATTGTTTTATTTAATTGAAAAAAATGTTAGATTTCAAATCGCGAAGCAGATAACAGCAATTTTGTCAGGGAAAGAAAACAGTATCATGCCACCAAACTTAACTCCTTCTATGTGTTCATGTATGAAGTTTGCACCTAATTTCAATTGATTTATTATATAGCAGTGNATATTTTCATTTTTTTTTGTTTTTGATAAAATATACAGAATTTTCTTTGGTGTAAAAATGTGTTTTTTTCTAAATAAACTCATTTTATAAAGTTTAACATAATGCATATAATTGCATATTTAGCCACTTTTCCTTTGCATATTTGCATCATATTTTACACTTTTTAAATGCATATAAATCCGAGCTCTAGTCATTATATATTTTCTTTAATAATATTTGTTTAATGTATCGATTTCTCCATGTTTTTTTCCTGGTTTTTCACATTTGCAGGGAAAACTTTTGAGAAAATCAAAAAATTGCCTCTCAAAAATACCTTTTTAGCTGGATTTCCTTTCAAAAAAAGTGCTATTGTTCAAAATCTAAGCAAAATTGATGTAGAAAGTTGTTTACAGAAAAAAAAAAGGCCGAAATATTGTTCAACTAATACCTAAATTTCGTACATTTTCCCTTTTTTCTTATTTGTTGAGAAAAATTTTGGGAAAATCGAAATATATCCTCCCTAATGTACTTCCCCACACCGGAACTATCAGAAAAGGTACTACACTTAGAAATCGGAGCAAGATCTCTGGTAGAAAAGTTGTCCACAGAAAAGGAAAATAAACATCTTTGTAAAACTAGTCGTTCCACTCAGAATTTAAAACCAGTAACCATACAAAGATAGGTGCAAAACTCAACGGTGAATCGGTTTTCTGTTCGTAATAAATAAAATGTTTTACCGACAAAGCGTACGTAGAGCAGAAGAAAAATGAAAAAAAGACAGGATTCAGTGAGAATACAACCGCTTAACGGTGTCAAAAAAATCATGCGTAGTTAATAAACAATAATTTCTCATAAAGACTTATTTTCGTTATTCGTGGTGACACTGATTTGAGGTAGGTTTTGTTTGTTTACATTTTTGAAAATAACATGGACCGAATAGGGAGTGCATCTATCTGGTTTCATATTGTCTGGCAAAGAAAGAATTTGTAAACATTGCCTATGTGACAAATGGCGCTAGTCATCATAATTTTCTTAGATAATACCACGGACTAAGATATACCTATATACCCGAATCCGTGGATAATACACACTGTATAGAGTAGTGATGGGAACAATCGAGAAGTGAGTTATCGAGAGATTCACTCGATTTCTTGGTCAATTTAATATTTCATCACACTCAGTTTCTCGATACACTGTATAACACATTATTCAATACCCGTTGGAGGCTTGACAATTAGCTCTTCAATTAATTATTATTACCTATTAAACACTTTAGAAAAGAAATATAATAACGTGTAGGTGCAACAACTAACATTACTAATTCGCATTAAATTGTTTTATGTTTTAGACTAAGACATCAGTCGATTTAATTTCGTGAGAATCACTGTCCAATTAATTTATCACTCGAGTGATTTAGTTACTATTCAACTTCAGTTGATTTCGATACCGAGAGAAACACTCGAGGATTTTCCAAACAATCGAAATAAATAATCGAGTAAATCTGACAATCGAGTACTTCGAATAATTTCTCTCGATTGTTCCCATCACCAGGACAGAGCAGACTGAGTATACCAACTGGGCCCCGATGTCATCACTGCGCATGCACAAACCATAAAGTGTTTGTGGTAATAGGTATATAAACGCAATTACGTTGCCCAACGTAGCCTACACATGCGCAAACAATGATTGTGATTCTTTACTCCGACCCGCGCTATCTATTTCATTTCTGATGCACGCTCCATCCGGTGTGTTGTTATCTACGTATTAAAATATTTTATATTCGTGTGCAACACAGAGTCGTTCCTAATATTATTCTATTTGGTTTCCGGTAAAATATTAAAATCCGATACGATTTATACGCGCAATAAAGTTATTATCAATTCGTCATCGACGCACCGTAATCTTAATTCGTGGTATTCTAAGATAATTGTTTACGGAGTCGGCCATTAAGTTTTTATAATATCTGTGGTTATAGATAGAACATATCATTAACCTAAATCGTGATTTTTACCTATAGACATCAACATTTTCACCGTGCAAGCCGAGTTTTCAAAACACCGAGCACCATGTCCCGCGCATTAATCTACGTATTCTGATTGACTGAACCAGATGGTACATGGTGTCAACTAAACCATTCAGCCAATCAAAATACGTAGATTTATGTACGGAATACGGTGTATCGGAAACTCGGTTTTTTATTTACTATCTATGGTGTTACCGGAAACCATGTATGTGGTATGTGGTTCATAATTTTGAGAAACAATTGTTTAAACAGAAGAATCATTTTTGTTTATAGGTCAACTAGTAGGTACTGGTTAACTGTTATTACTTGATACTTGTGATACTTCAACGTTCGACTTCATCGATTAACATTGGCGACTTGGCGTCATTTAGTGTTTGGCTTTTAAATATTTTATTTTGCCGTCTCGGTTCGCTATATTATTGACAAGTAAGTCACGTGTTTTATTCGTCTGACGTTTGTAAATGTAATCTTTCTGCTGTTTACGTTACAAATATACAGTTGCCGCCATTTAAATTCATAACGTCGCCTACTCTTTCTATGTATTAGAGCACTGTGCATTAAGATAATATTGCTAACAAAATATTTATAATAACAAACCCTAGTCACTGAATTTGAACATTGGTTAGTTTAGTATATTTTGTTTTGTGAGTTAATATTTTTGTTATTTAAGTATGTTTAATATTTTCTTTAATTGGCGTTAAAGTTTAGGTACCTACCTTATATTATATCAAATAAATAACTAACTCTATATTTTTTTTTTATTAAAATATACCGGCCTATATATTTTAAATTTTTGTTTTTAACTTAATATGTAAACAAGTCCTATCAACAATACTACCTAGTATAATTAAGAATTATTGAAAGTGGATGTCACTTAGAACAGATGTTAGTTTGATGACTGTTTATAATAAATACTATAACGATAAAAAAAAAAACTAAGAAAACTTAAATATATTAATAACATTATTTTTATTTATTATTCCGTAGTATATTTACTATACAGGGTGTTCCATGAAGATTTGACAAATGTTATAACTTTTGCTCTGTAATAATGTGGGATTATTATTATTTTATTTAAATTATCTCGACAGAAATACCTGCTTATTTAGTGATTCAAAACTGCTTATTTTAATATTTCGAGTATTGCTGTATTATATGAAATATGTAGAATTTTAGTATCTTGTTTTTATAAACCGATCATCATTTTTGAGAATGACCAAAGTATGGTCGCTCTCATAATACTAATGCCTGAGAAGAACCGCTTTCGGATTTTGACACATGCATTCTATGCCTAAATCCACCACTTCATTTACGTGGCGCCTGCGCCTTTGAATCTAGTATATGTATGGGTGTAGGTACCTATATAGAGTTAGACTTTATTCAGACTCAGTTAATTCTAGAATGATCAATAGACTGATGGAATCATACCTTATGTATTTTCGATCCACAGGTTTGTAAGTCTCAGGAATAAACCAATCCTTAACTTATCTAATTTTAATTAAGCGTTTTATTTCTTTAAACTTTTTTTTCCTAAACATTATTGAAGAGTTGTTGACAGAAGATGCCTTCCGCCATATAATAGTGTTGTACTGTTACACCACAAGTTCCATTTAAAAAATTTAATAATATTGAACAAAAAAAAATTATTGCATTAGTTGAATCTTTGTGGAATATCCTGTATAATAGATGTTTTTATATTAAGATATATTATTTAATTATTTAATTCCCTATAGATTTGAGTGATGGCTTCAAAAAAAGTATTTAAAATCAAAGATAAAGTCTTTGCAAAAATACGAGGTTACCCTGCTTGGCCAGCTATTATATCTGGTATTAAATCTGATATACCATCACGAATGCGATACAATGTATATTTTTATGGAACTGGTGAACGTGCAGAATGTAAACCAGAAGAACTTTTTCCATATGAAGAAAATAAGTCTAAACTAGGAAAGCCAAGTAAACGTAAATATTTTACTGAAGCTCTGTTACAAATTGAAGAGGATGACACCGGAGTTACGGTTCTTCCAGAAGAATCATTTCCTGTAAACATACCACCAAGTAACACAGTGACTAAAAAAAAAGAACAAGAAAAACCACCTTTAAATGAATCTGTAAATGTAAAAATTGGAGAATCTAATTCAGAAACTGAAGGGAAGTTGACAACTGATGAAACAAGTACAAATAAAGGGAAAAAAGTTAGTACATCAAAAAAGAGTTTGGGAATTTCTATCTCTAAAGGAACAAAAAGAAAATTATCTGATGCTAAGCTTGATGCCGCTTCAAAGAGATCAATTGTAGACATTATGAAGAACAAAGATAATGTTGTAGTACAATTGGAAACATTAAGTAATAGCGTAATAGAAAAAGCAATCGCTAAGCAGGTTAGTCAATTTTATCTTATCTTATCTTATTCAACTTAAGAATTTACCGGTTTCAGTATATGTGACTGATCTGATATTGCTGTATATTGTCGGATCCTTTGATTAATTATTTGGAAATATGGAAATAATTATTACCCACCATACACCTTTGTTGATGCCACTGCTGTGTATATAGCGAGTCATAATATTTACCGCAAAATAAATAATTATTTATCATAATCAATTAAAATCTTGAGAAAAGAATTATAGAAACCAGTACAAATAATTTAATTTTGATTTTATTATAAATAATTAAATCCTCTATGACTGTTGACAAATGAAAATAATTAGGTATAAAATAAAATTATAAGTTATATTTACTATTATATATTACAGAATTAAACAACATTTTGAAAACTATTCTGAATTTGAAGTTTCTCCTGTGGTATTCATAACTATTTGTTCAGTTTCCGCAGTTAACGTCATCAACAATAAAATCAATTTTTATTCTTTTTCAGTGTGGTTTATGAATTTTTTTCAAATTTCCAAACTCGCATGGTTAAAATAAAATGTTATTCATAATTTTTGTTACATATTTCTTATATTATGTGTGTTGGCGATGGTATAGCGATAGAACAGTTGAAACTGAATGATTGGCGGATGAGTGGATACAGGGGTACCGATAACTGATTGTAGGAAAGTATGCACGGATATGTTTTTTCATCTGTGTATTCTTTATTTTTAAATAGAGTATAGGTACATTTTTTTCATCATATAATATATACCCCTATCTATATCTAAGCTTATATTAATTTATAAAATAAATTATTATAATTGTTAACATCTGTAATAATTAAGCCACTTCAAATATTTTATTTAGTATTTAATGCAATTTAAGGGAGTCTAAAAATGTTTTCTAAATTTTCTCAAATTATTTTTTATGAACATTTTAATAATAAGACTTGCATATAATCTATTGCTCAATAGGGGTATGCATGTATTTTTTGATAAATTATCAAGGTTTATTAGGAAATCAATTGAGAAAATTTAAAATTTGGTACACAATATATAAATTAAAATTAAATTTGGTGGTTTTATAGAATTATCAAAAATTACATAATACTTTAAAAATTTTAATCTGACATCAGGAAGTATGTCTTTTTTCCCATTGATTTTGTTTCTCTGTATCTCACACTTAATATAGCAACAAAGGTATTCCACATTTCCACGATTTTAATCCTGGCTGTGTTAAGAGAAAAGAGACCTATTGTATATTTTATAAATGAGAGTATTTACTATAGATTCTACCAACAGTTTATTAAAATATGTGTTTTAATTTTCTATTAATTTCAACCATTAATAACTTTTTAATAAATACAAATATTTGAAGTCATTTGTAGAATACGTATTAAATAAATACTTTTATTTATGAAATGAATTATAAACTTAACCAGAGTTTGAAATCTAAACATTTGGAATGCTTTTGTTGCTCTATAATGCTCGAGTCAAACAGAAAACATTTGTTGGTGACAAGTCCCCTTAAGCAATTTTATAAACTTCTATCTCTAATTTGATTATGATAAATAAATACATAAATATATTATATAAATAAATCAATAAATAAATTTTTTTTTTTTATTACTTATTTTAATAGCCACGATAACAAAGACTATTCAATTATAAAAATTGCTTAACTTATAAAAATTATCTATAAATAATAATTTGATTTACAGAATTCTATGATGCATGAGAAAAAACTTGCTCTCCAGATGTCCCGCACACCTGAGAAAACTAATCAACCTTTGGAAAGTAATAAAACTGAACTAGTTCCTGAACCCAGTAATGTTTCAGTTATATTGGATAATAATAGAACGCCAAAGTCTTCATCAAAAATAAAAAATAGTCCTTCAGTTAATGAAATATCTAATAATTCAAGCTTAGGCCATGTTTCACGGTCAGGTCGTAAAATTAAGCCAAAAAAGTACTCTGACTATGAAAATGAGGGAGATATGTCAAAACGTTCCAGAACAAGTAAAGAATTTGTTAAAACAGAAAAGGTTGTAAAAGTGGAAACTGACAATGATACTAAAGGTAAATTATAGTAATTAAAAAAAATTGGTAATTCAAATTATATTATATTAAGTATTTAATTAGTTCTTTTTATTGGAAGGAATTAGAATACCTCTTTCTGTCATATGAGACGACAAATGAGGTTGCATCAGTTTGACAGTCTGTGTAATATTCTGTGTATGAAGGGTATGGGTGCGAAAGGTGCGTGTTAAAACATGTCAAAACCTTTTTATAATCTAAGTAATATTACTGAAAAATAAGGTCATTGAGGAAAAAAAGTGATATCAGACGTAAAGTTCTATTTTTATTTGGGGATATCATCCCCAAATAATTTGGCTTCAATCTTATCTTATCAATTGTCTTATTATTTTTCTATGTAATTCTGTTGGAATATAAAAACAAAACATACTATTTGAACACTATTTTATTTGATTATTTATCTTATTAAATGAAAGTCGACTGGAACGAGTTATATGATTTTATTTTGAATTCATCTAGAATTTATAGTGTTTATATCACAGTGCATTAATGCAAAAATTACATAGGTACCTTATGGAAAACATATCACATTATCACATATTTAAATACAAAGTGGATTCACTGAACCACTTCTTTCTTGGTTTTACTTCTTCATTTCTGGATTGTTTCCAAATTGTAAAATATTAAAATTATATCTGATCAAATCCTTCTTACTTCTGGTGTTCTCCAAGGAGATCATTTATCCCCTATATTATTTTGCCTTTTTATAAATAATATTTTTCATTTTAAAGTTCTATTTATATCCGATGATGTAAACAATTTCAAAAATATTAGCTGCTTAAATGACGTTGTTGAACTACAGTTAGATTTAAAAAATATATATAAATTATGCCAATAAAATGCTATCGACTTAAATTTAAAAAAATGTTTTTACATTTCTTTTTTTTTAAAAAGACAGCCTATACAATTTAATTATTTTTTGGGTAATATAAATTTATTAAGAATTAAAGTACTAGACCTTTTAGTAAAATTTGACTCTAATTATTTTTCAAGGATCATTTACTTTTTATTTGGAATAAAGCTTCAGCAAAGGTATGTTTTTTAAAACGCACCTGTTTAAATTTTAGAGATGAATCTTCATTAAAAATATTATCCTACTCTTTAATCCGTTCTCATTTTGATTATGCTCTCTTAATCTAACATCCATATTTCGTAACATAAATAAAACAAAAAATTAGAATTTTATATAATTTTATATAACTCCTGCTCTGTATTCTTTTCTTTATTATATTTTTTTCTACCAGTTACATGTCTAACAGTCTTCTTTTTAAAATTATGAAATTGGCTAACAAGGACCCATCTTTCTAATTCTAAATTTTTTGTTCTTTATGTATATTTATATCTTTAGTTGTTGTGATTTTGTATCATTAACTTAACTATCGTGTCAGTACTCTATATTATTGTTTTTGTAATACTACATACTTAAATTTTGTTATTTATGGTAAGTCTTTGCAATTTGGCTAATCCTGTTTTTAATATAAATAAAATAAAAGTAGGGGAGAGAAAGACGAAAAAAAGATGTTGGATGCTATTGAGAATGATTTGATTTAATTGAGAATAAATGAGAGTGAGTGGGTGTATGCCGGTAGGAGTTTGGGTCAAATCAAAGTTTAGTTCGAGGTTGGCCAGTCCTAAATAGTTGGGATGAAGGTGAATATATTAAGTATTTATTTTAAGACCGAATTTTAATATTTTGTTTGTTTTAGTATCATACATTTCTCTATTATTTTTTTCGTACACATATTAATATTAAATATTAAATATAAATAAATACTTTAAATGTGATTTTCAGATGCGCATTCAAATTCAAAAATTACAAAAATATCCACAAATCATTCAGCAGATGTTCCCCTTGTTAATGATAGTGCATTCAAAGAAATGAATCAAATAACCTCAATATTCAATTCAGATACTGACTTGCCTAATAAATTAAAAAAGCTCATGTCTTCTGCTGTTACAAATGTAACAACTAATGTTAATGAATTAAATCCAAAAAAAATGAAGAAAATAGATTTGTTAAACATAGAATTAAAGATGATGGATATTTTACATATAGTACGTAAAGCTTTAAATACTGAAAGAGCTAACTGTGAAACAGCGTTGGCATCATTAGAACAGTTGTATGCAATTGACAATATTGACTCATTTATGTTAATAAAACATAAAGAGGTTGTTGAAACAATTAAAAAAGTGACAAAATATGTAGGAAATGCAAGTGAATGGAATATAAATGAAGAGGAAATGAATAAACATAATGAAATTTCCAGAAAAATTAGATGCAAAGCTAAAGCAATCTATAATAAATTTAAATCATTGTTCATAGTGCCCGATGGAAAAACTTTCAAAGAAATATATAACAAAGAGGTGAATGAGTTTAATTCAAAAAACGTTGCTTTGCCTTTCGAAGAGACGTTTACACTAATGCCACATGGATATCCTCAATAATTTTTTTATCACAAATTGATAGAGGAAAAATAGTTATTTTAGTATGAAATAAAATTCTCCAGTGGTTAACTGCGTTTGTATTATAGTATTCCATAATAATATTCATATATACATCATTAGTTTTTAACTTAAAACATTTTTGTATCCATAAATATTAGTTGTTTTTAATTTAGTTAGAGAATATAATACTAATAATATTTAGTACCAAAATTATTTTTAAAACAGAATAATACTTTAGCTCGTACTTTTTAAAATATTAATTTGTTTGGACTTGTAAATATTCAATGCTACATGTGTACTTTTCAATATTGTAATTATCATTAGGTATTATTACTATATAATATTATAATATTGAAAAATAATTTATATGTATTTTTTTTAACATATATTATATACAGAGTAATTATCATAACATAAGACATCTTGTAAAATATTCCTTTTTTTATTTATTTAGAAATTGTAAAAAACAATCCACTTTAAAATGTTACCATTTTTTCTATCTTCCTTATTTTTTTGGGTAAAAGCACTATCAACTTTAGATGTTTAAATTGCAATCTATGTTAATAAATCTAGGTGACAAAAAATGGGAGTATTAATTTAAAACACATTTTGGTGTTAAAATGTACAATTTCCGTCAATGTGTTGATGAATATTCCAACTTTAAGTTTGGTTGGGGGGAAGTAGTAAAACATTGTTCAAACACCAGACAATGCTAAGAAACCTAAAAGTGGAATATTTTGACAATAGATTGACAATTAATAAAAATATTCAACGCCAAAAGAAAATTAATTTAAACTAATACAATTTCTGGAATTTTTCAAATATTAAGTATCCTCAAAAATGTCATTATTTGTCTGTTCTGTAGATACCAATTTTTTACTCTAATCTAAAGACAAAATGTTATGTTTGAGTTGAGTCGAGATTATATATATATATATATATTGTAACTGAGTTTATGCTGCAGTTTTATGAGGGTAAAAAATGTGCGCATTTTGTTCAACACAGAGTTTATAGGAAAATGTGTTTTCATATTTGAGAATATTTAGCATATTTTGTAAATTGTTAGGAAAAATACTAATTTATTGTAATTTTAAATTATTATTAATAGGTATCAATTTTAATTTTGATGTACTTGAAAAAAAAGGTTTTTGAATCATTTAATAACCAAAATAGGTAATGCATAAATATTTTTTGAAATTTTGATGAAGTAAAAAATTAAAATATATATGTTTTAAAGCATATATTTGGCGTATATTGATTATTTTTAAATGTTTTTCTAATTTTTAAGAATATAGTATAATATTTGTAGTTTTCGTAGAGAATATTAGCATCATATTTTAAGTATTTTAAGAGAATATAAATCCAAACTACAGTTATGACCAAGGCTCATGACATAGCTGCTGCATATTTGTTTTTAAAAGTCCTAGTAACACCTAAGTAAGTTATAAATTTGTTTTAGATAAACAGGAAGTCAAATACAAAATTTTTCGTTGCGTATTTTGAAGTTTTAAGTGCTATTTGACACTTATATTGTTGTTTCAAAGAAAAAAGAAAATGTTTTTCAAAGTTAATTTTATATTTGTGTTTATCAGTTTATATTTTGGTAATTGTCATAAAAGAAATTGAGATTGATAAATTATGTGATCATTGTAATTACTCTGTAATTCCATTGATTAGGTCTCTATTAATAATAAAATGATTTTATTGTTGAAGAGTACTATCATATTATTTTCATTTTTCTTGAAACACTACTATTAAAGTCATTAGTGGTTTCGCTATTTTTTTTGTGCATATTTTAACATTTTTTTTGTGCATATTTTAACATTGTTAATGCATATATAAATGCTTATATGAATGTTTTTAAGAGCAATGTTCATTGGGCTCATAACAACTTTTCTTTAAGTTATGTCATGAGCCCTGGTTATGACTTATGAGGCTCTAAAAGAAAAAGAATTAGAACTTTTTTTGGCAGTAAGGATGCCATCTAGTATCTATAGTGTCCCCACATATTTTTTGCAATTCTTAAATGCACTTAATATTCATAATTAATTAGTTTTTAAAGTTATATGACATCAACATTAATTAAGTTACAATATTTTTTTATAAAATAATCAAAATCTAATTAGCTAATAGAATCCTTATTAGGTTGTAAAATAATCTTGCTTTTTACTGCCGTATAAGAGCCCACCAGGTTTAAAACTATTGTTCAATTTTTACTAATGTATAAAAACTATCCTGGAATTAAAATATTTATCAAAACTCGACTAGACCAAGATTCTTGGCAGGGCTCTCGGCACATGGTTTTGCTGGTTGTTATCAAAGCTAGAACGTCCTCATTGTACATTGATATCGAACTAGTAGTTTCGGTTAGTAGACTCAAGATCGTCCATTTAGCTATTTAACACGGGAAAATAGAGATCATTTATAAATAGATTTAATCATCTCGTTACCACTGTCGATTTCAATGGACATGACTTCATAATCATTACAATGAATTGCCATTTAGTGATTAAAACGTTAAGACACCTGCTAAATGTTTCTAATGTTCCCGAAGTGTAGGTTAAGAGGACGCCACACCGACATATACTGTCTCCGTTATACAAACACAAGACATAGCAAATTTGCGTTCAGTAGGACACGTTTTGTGCCGTTAGTTTTAATATCAAAGCGAATTGACCTATTACCAAAATTAAAGGTAAGAAGATTATAATATGTGCTCTAGCGTTGATGTTTTTTCGATATTTAAATTTTTAAGGAAGATATAATGATTTTTAAATTGCGATATTTAACATACACGTGTATCTCGTTTAAAAATAAAAATATTTATATATATATACAAACAAAATTATAAAATTAAATGGAAAATCTTGAATATCGTTGGTCTTTGTAGGTACTGCCTTGTATTGGAGGTACTTTGGAATTTCAGTTTCTTCTGGAATTGTAAAAACTGTTATAAAACATTACAGTAGGTATACTTATCACTATTTCAACTTTATATTAGATATAACGCATGTTAGTTGCCTACACGTTTGTAACTGGGTCCGGGGTCACCGCCACCCGTGAATTCAAATAAAATAAATATAAAATACTTACGTAGGTAATTTACTAATTAACAAATTATTATAATTATAAATAGAATTAAAAAAAATATTATAATAATTGTCTAACACATTACCTACTATTGTCTTTATACCTTGTAAAACGTTAAACAAGACCCGAACGATGAAAATACTATACAAGTTGAAAGAATACCCGCGTTCGTGTTTATAAAGACGTGCCTATGAACGCGCAAAATGCTGTTGATCGTCGTTCGCCGTTCGTAAAATAAGTAGGCACAATTACTGCGGACGGAAACATAACTATCCAAACGGGATATTTGTATACGTCCGTTTATTGTTTTGACTACCGGTTATTTATAATAGAATTAGGGGTAGTATTGATATCATAAATCTATAATATTGTTTACACGTAACCACTTTGTCGAATGTAACTGTGGTTGAATGGAGTATATTATTTCAACCGTGGTCCATGAATATAATAACACGAAATATAAATGAATAGGTGATTCCTGTAATAAAATTGTGTAAAACTATCTACAGGGGCCACCCCGCGCATTGTGATCTTGTGACGTGCGGCTATAACTTCTCCCAAGCTCGACGCATACACATTTTAGTTAGTACCACCATTGGTTATAATATTAATTGAGCCTAAATAATTTGTTTTGTTTCCTTTGACAAGGGTCCTACAACCCAGTGAATACCCTCAGGACGCTTTTTTACGAATAATGCAATTTTTTTTCGCGATAATTCCAACGTCCATACATACGTTTTGCCGATTTTTTTTTCTTCGCTGCTATTAACAACCCGTCACACGGTGGCGTATTTGACTTAGGATTATTGTGGGGAGGGATGCGACACTAAAACTATTATACACTAGGTATATAAATACGCTTATACCTGTTATACTCTATTTTTCTTACCATGAAGTATTTTTAGTTTTTTATCTGATGACACTTTTCTAGCGATGTTCAATTTTTGTATGTATATATTTATACATCAAATATTTATATTTAGGGGGGGGGCGATTTTGACACCCAGCTACCAAGTATAGTTGTTATGTTGTCTGTAATCTATTGAACAAATTATNATTAAAATAAGTGCTTTTTTACCTGCAGGAGTTATAGATGTAAATAAGTTAATAACATCTTTTTTGTTAATTTCTAGGCCTTGTTCACAAGAAATGTTCATCAAATTTTTTAAACGATTTTCAGAAGTAGTAGTGTGAAGTCGTGTCTTAATGAATTTAAGCTTGGGAGATGTTCGCTCTGTATTGGGACTGGAAACTGGATCTGTTATACTAATTTTAAAGGCAATGAAAAGATTTGGAAATACTGAATTCATTTTAGTAAGACATGATATTTTAAATAAATTATTGATGCATCTTTTAATTTTGAAAAGTTTTATATGAGCTGTTGTGTGCTGCTCTTCTTCATTTTCTGAATCTGAGTTTGTAAAATTATCCAAGTCTGTATTTTACTGTTTGGTATTTTCATAATGAATAATAGAATAAATGACAAAACTTTTCTTTAAATCAAAATAATTTCTAACAAATTGCATATATTTAGTTTTTAAATCTTCTATTGATAAGAATTGATAAATATTACACATTTCAATTGCATCTACAGGAAATTGTTAACAGTTTTTATTTAGTTTGATAATGCATTTTTCAGAGAAAAGTAACAAATCTTTTAAAATACCAATTTGGTTATTATAATATCAAGAGCAGTATAAAATGTACTTATCTATTTTCATTTACTTTAAGAAGTCCGAGATTCGTTAATTATGTTGTTCGACGTTTAAATTATTCAGCATTAACTATAGGTAATATTTTTAAATTCGTAGTTGTTATTTCTTAAATATTTTAATTGGCGAATGCCAGAAATTAATAAATCTGTAGTTGTAAGTAAATCAAAATCTCGTTTTGAAAAGCATTATTAAATAGTCCCAAAATCGAATTATTACTATCTTGAAAACTTCGAATATTTCGAGGCTCTTGACAGAACCATCCCGTAGTTGTCTCTGGTAAATTTGTGCAATTAGGGTTAAGTAGCTCCAATACATCAAATATTGTTTTTTTTTTTTATAAATGATGTGTATAGAAACTTTGAAGACTTGAAATAATTTAAAAAACCATTTACTGCAGAACTAACTTTAACATCTGACAAACCTTCAACTTTCTGAATTTCTTTTAAAGTTTCTATTACAGAATACAATTTTTTATGTACTGTGTTCAATGCTGTGGCATGGGACGTCCATCTATTAGTAGCTACTCTTTTCATACAATGAATTGATAAAGTTCTCTTTGTTTTTGCCAAAAAATTCTTACTCTCTTTTTGCTACACTTTAAAAACAAGTAAAATGATTCTAAATTTCCAAAACGATTAAGTGTTTCTACACCTTTTGACATTGCTGCTATAACAATTAAATTTAGTCTATGGGCATGACACCAAATAAACGTAACCTACTTATTTTTTTCTTTGATGTGAGGTTATAGACTATTATATTCACCAAATATATTACTCGTTTCATCATATAATTGTCCAATTAAGTTTGTCTTTCATTCTAAACCTTCAAATGTCTCGAATAAAACTTTTCCTGTAGTTTTATCAGACTCATTAATAGCAATTAAGCGATCAAAAATAGTTCCTGAATTACTATTGGTATATCTTATAGCAGTGATGGGCAACTGGCGGCCCGCGTACCTTTTTTATCTGGCCCGCGCTACATTTTCAAATGACTTCATATAATTTTAACGCTTATCTGTATTTTATTTTATTACATTTTTCGATAAAATGTGGATATAAACTCTTATCTAGTTTTAAACCCAAATTAAATTATTAAATGTCTAAATATATATTTATAATGGCGTAGCTAACATACTATTTATTTCATTTTATCGGTTTAGTCATATCCGTACTGACCGTACTGCCGTAGTGTCAAACCGCCGCGCCGTTAGTACTATTATTTTCGAGTTTTGTAGTAATTATTTTAAAAATGTCCGCTAATAAGCGTAAAATCGAAGACGAAAATAGAATTTTTAACAGCTTATGGGAGAATGATTATTATTAATAAATGTTAGTAAATTTGAAGGACTTTTTTTTTTTGCTTTCTCCTATACACT